GGACATAGATAATTACCGCCCCATCAACATTACTTCCGTAGTTTCACGTGTGATGGAAAAGATTGTAAAGAAGCAAATTGTTCAGTATTTGCTCTCGAATGACTTAATATCCCCTTTCCAATACGGTTTCCTAAATAGAAGATCGTGCATTACGTGCCAGTTAGATTATTTCGACCACATTACTGAATGTGTAGACAAAGGTCGTTCGGCAGCAACATTATTTCTAGATGTTAGGAAAGCTTTTGATAAAGTCCCACATAAAAGACTCATACTGAAACTCCTATCTTATGGAATAAGTGGAAGGCTTCTTGAGTGGATAACTTCCTTTCTTACAGGAAGAGAACAGTTAGTTAAAGTCAACCATCACTTATCAACATCCAAACCGATAACCAGCGGCGTGATACAAGGTAGTGTTCTTGGCCCTACCCTATTCATTGTATTCATAAATGATATTGTCTCTATGATCAAGTATGGCAAGCCATACCTCTTTGCAGATGACCTCAAAGTTGTCTATGATTTTGACTATAATGATATGAATATTGTTAGTAAAATCCAAGAAGACCTAAATAGTCTATGTAATTGGAGTGAAAAGTGGCAGTTAACGTTCAATCCAGCTAAATCTGGGATAACATACTTCGGACGTTGGAAACCTAGCATGTGTCTATACATGTACGGTGACCTTGTCTCAAACACAAACACAGTCACAGATCTCGGGATAACATACTCAGATCTTACCTTTACTGAACATGCAAATAAGGTGGTATCTGATTGTAAACGTCTAACCGGCTTTGTGCTACGCAACTTTTACACTCCAGAAGCCAGATTAGCCATATATAAGATATGCATTCGCCCCAAACTTGAATACTGTGCCCACTTATACAGTAGCTTCAAGTCGGCAGACAGAAAAAAGTTGAAAGTGTCCAAAGATTCCTTACGAAACGCATATTAGGCTATGGTCAGCAAATAGAATACCTTGACAGATGTATTCGACTGGACTTAGAGCCCTTATGGTTAAGGAGAGTGAAGTGCAATTTATTTCTCTTATTCAAAGTTATAAGAAAGCACTGTAACAGTAACTCGTCCATAACCTGGGCTAATCCTAAATCGTATGGACTACGCAACCACAACTACCTTCTCAAGGTTAACACCCATAAACTCACCACTAGAGCTAACTTCTTCACCATTAAATATTGCAAACTTTGGAACCAACTACCCTCTGAGATAAGATCCTGTGAAAGGCCTGACAGTTTCAAAAGGAGCCTAGAAAAACATATAAACATGTCCACCCTAGCCCGCCTCAAAGATCTCAACTGCTGGTAGAGTGGAGAGACAATGGCTTTTCAATATTTAACTACGGAAAGTACACTAGTCCCAATACCAATATAATAACACTTAGTAATTATGTAGGTTCAATACTTGAAATTCGATTGTCATTAAAATACTTAAAATGATTAAAATAGCTATGCGGCAAGTGTTCTCTTGCTTTACCATGCTTGTTTCCCTTATAACACTCAGTTATTGAGCCTAATGTATTCTTTGATAATACGAATTATGACACTGACTATGCTCTTATTATACATAGATTGATTTACTTTACGACTACCTGTAGTACTAACTACCCTTCTGTAGTATTGTTAAACAAATGCTGAAATTTTGTTGGTTCTGTTAATATCTTTTTATAATATGTTTAGACACGTTACTTTGCAATGTCAGATGTCTACTATATACAAGACTGTCATGATAATTTAGTACACTAAGTCCTGCCAACCGACCTTACCTTCAGTTCATACTACCTACATTGATCCCTAACTATATTGTTCTGCTGAATCTTGCTTCACTATTCACAAAACCTATTCTTTTTATTCTTTAAGGTTCTAACTTCTTGTAAAGTAATCTGTTCATTAGGACGCATGCATACATATATAATGTTCATAAAGATGTACGCGGAGACCTATTGGAAGCACTCATTAAGAAAGCTAGGGAGATGGAATATGAGGTACGAACATGTCTGGTACCAAGCAATATATTTGCGGTAGCCATAATAATCATAGTCTCAGAGCTTAACATCAAAAAAGGAGGGAGGGTGGCGTTAGCTGATCAGTAGATATGGTGGGGGTCACTAAGGTGAATCGCCCCATTCTGCAGGAACAGCAATACACAAATTAAAGGCTCGAGATATTTCTGATTTTTATGAGGGCTTAGATCTTTATCTTGAAAAAGATAATAATGAACGCCTTGACAGATCATGCTTCTACCTCTAAATATATACTATTCGCCCAGCCTATTGTTGAGATGCGACCATGTGGGATGTGCACAGATTTATGGGGCATCTTATAAACTAACTTGCTGTCCATTGACTGATCTTTAAATACCACTTCACAATGTCTTATCTCATTCATTTTCCAATAACGTCTTTACTTGATCCTCATTATATTCCATTAAACCTAACATTTTACAGCTCTTTATGACTTATTATATTCCTACTCTCTGAAGGGTACGGTTGTACATTAAATGCACAAAAAGGTATAAAACAAAAACAACTGGCACAACTGAGGATAAATGTATTAAAACCAAAAGTGGACATCATGATAGTACGAGGTATATGCGCAGCATTATACATTGCAAATGAACGTTGTCAGCCTAGGGAGTTTCCTTTATAAATGCATTTATTAATGATACTTGCACTTACCTATTTCATTACAATTTAATGATTCACCTCAGCACTTTTACTTTTCTAAAACAGCTTTCAATCCCTTGTAAACGTTGTACTTACCTCAATATTGGTTGGTTATCGTATGCCGACAACCACGGGATGAAAACGAAACGAAGTCGATTTTCCCGCTCAACCTGGAGGACAATTGTACAATTCAATAACTATACAGCCTAGTTCAGACAATGTGTATTTATATATATATCAAATATTTAACTGTTGAAACATTATTAACTTGTAGACAATCTACGATTTGATATTATATCATACTTGATCGTGCCTGTAAAAATGGCATGCATTTTCATGTAAATTTATATGTTTATATGAGAATATACATTATTATTATTATATTTTTTTTTTTTTTTTTTTTTTTTTTTTTTTTTTTTTTTTTTTTTTTTTTTTTTTTTTTTTTTTTTTTTTTTTTTTTTTTTTTTTTTTTTTTTTTTTTTTTTTTTTTTTTTTTTTTTTTTTTTTTTTTTTTTTTTTTTTTTTTTTTTTTTTTTTTTTTTTTTTTTTTTTTTTTTTTTTTTTTTTTTTTTTTTTTTTTTTTTTTTTTTTTTTTTTTTTTTTTTTTTTTTTTTTTTTTTTTTTTTTTTTTTTTTTTTTTTTTTTTTTTTTTTTTTTTTTTTTTTTTTTTTTTTTTTTTTTTTTTTTTTTTTTTTTTTTTTTTTTTTTTTTTTTTTTTTTTTTTTTTTTTTTTTTTTTTTTTTTTTTTTTTTTTTTTTTTTTTTTTTTTTTTTTTTTTTTTTTTTTTTTTTTTTTTTTTTTTTTTTTTTTTTTTTTTTTTTTTTTTTTTTTTTTTTTTTTTTTTTTTTTTTTTTTTTTTTTTTTTTTTTTTTTTTTTTTTTTTCTTTTGAGGGTTCTTATAGTTTGGTTAATGTCAGCGTAAGTGAATTGAACAGTGCTAATTTGGTTTGGTGTGAGTGGAGTGGAGTTTGTGCCATTTTAGTAATAGGGTGTATATCGAGTAGCTGGACTGAGGGCTTAAGGTAGTTACCTGCAAACGTTTTGTTGAATAGTTCACATATGTCTGCAGAGTTAGTGCATAGCCTGCCTTTGTCTATGAGGAGAGAAATGCTGTGATTTTTGCGATTCATTCGCTTCCTTAAGATTTCTGTGAGTGCATACACTCTAGCAGGACTGGCTACTGCGATGCGTTCTTCCTTTCTCATACGGAAATCTTGAGCTTGTGTGATGGAGCTAAGGGTTTTAAGTATTAGACCTAGAGTGCCAAAGTCGTGGTGTTTGAAGTAACTTGTTGAGAGTTTCTTCAGTTTCTTACGATCCTTTGGTTTTATGAATGACTTTCTGTGTGGGGAAACCTTTAGTGTTTGGAGTGGAATGACAGCATCTAAGCATATGTTTGAGTTATGGTAGAAGATGGTTAGGGCTCTCGATAGGTCATCAGTAGTGAAGTATTCATCCCATTTGGAGGATCTTAGCATCGATTCAACTAAGGCCCAGTTTGCCTTACTATAGTTCCTATATATTACTTGTTGTGAAGTGGAGGTATGAGATGCATTGCTACTCAGCGGAATTGGCAGTGCACACATTACTGTTTTGTGGTCGCTCCCTGGGAACTCAGAACCTACTAGCGTTGAAAGGGGGCTTATATTGTGGCAGAAGATTAAGTCTAGTACGTTGTTACCTCTTGTGGGAGTAGTGACAGTTTGTTTCCAGCCAAGTATATCCAGTGTGTCTAAGAACTTATCAAATTTAGTTGGGCCTGTGGGTATATCCCAGTTGATTTCAGGTAAGTTAAAGTCCCCACATAGGATCTTATGATCGTATTGTAAGTCGGTTAATTGCTCCAGAGTATTAATAAGTTGGGTCTCGTAATTACTAAAGGTGCCAGGTGCTCTGTAGGAGCATCCAATTAATGCTGTTACGTTATTTAAGTGTACATTAACCCATAGAGTCTCAGGCATGTTAAGTGTACTACTTTCTAGCTGTGATACAGTAAGTTCATTCAAAAAGTACATGAGACAACCCCCTCCCTTACCACCTTCCCTGTCACACCGAAAGTGTGTGTAGTTATCTAAGCTTATTTCATCATCCAGGATGTTCGAATGACACCAAGATTCAGTGATGACAATTACAGGGGGTTTGTATATTACTGTGAGTGCTCTGAGCATCGGCAATTTATTTAGAACAGATCTAGCATTTATGAGGATTACGTAAAGATGAGAGTTGAAGTAGCATTTGAAGTATTTAAGTTCGTTAGTCAGCCCCGAATATGGTTCAGCACCCAGTAGTTCTGCTGGACATGACGATCCTATGTTAAGAGGAGTTCCAGCATCATGCTCACCTATGTCTATCGAGTTGTTGTGTGCTGTTTTCGGTGGAGAATTAGGAGTTGGAGTACTGGATTTGCTATAGACTAAGGAACTTTTATTTTTAGTTAGGTTACAGAAGTGGGTAGGGTTCTTTATTTGGCCTATACTTGTGCAAGTGTCAAGTGTGTCCAATGGATACGGGTGCACTAGACCGTTCCTGTTTTCATGCAAGGAGGGAGCCAGCACTAGTGGTTTAGGAGTGTTAACATCCCTACCAGCTGTTTTTTCAACGCTGACAGGGACGCGGGGGATAAAAAATGATTGGATCCTTGTGATGACCATGGCTTATTATTCCACCTATTGTTTGATGCTAGTTGTGTCCTTGTGTGGGTTTCGTGTGTACTGCATTTTGGGTTAGTTCCCAGCAGACTTGTACCATACATCCGGTCGAAATTTGTTTGTGTGCCATACTCTGAAGACCCTGAGTTGTTGGTAGCCGAGTTCTGACTATTACCACTTGTACTATTTAGGGTGACATCGTTGTGACATTGGATATTAGTGTGTGCTAGGAGAGGACAAAGTCGAGTTTCGGGGGGTTTTAACTTTTTTTCTGGGGTTATTTAGTGGCATTTTAGATTCTGCGGTGATGGGTGGTATGGTTTTGTTATTTATTTGGTTACAGTCTAGTGGCTTTTCGCCTGGTGTTGCACTCTGATGGGACATTTCTGTGTGTTTTGAGAGGGGTGATGCGGTGGGGTCTACTGTATCTTTCACAGGGTTGGGGATAATGTCTTTCTGCAATGTCCTATTACCTATTTCACAATTAGTCTTAGTGAGATAGTTGTGTGCGCGCCTTTCTATAACTGTTTTTTCCACCCCGACCTTAATATGTTTGTAGTTTCTGGCTTGCGATAGGGTGTGTTGGGAGTGAATGAATTTTCTGGTCTCTGCCGGTGTTTCGAACTGAAATCGTATAGGACAACACTTTTCATGTTGACTCTTCTTCAGCCTGTAGCACTTAGTCTTGGAGTTAGGCATTTTCGCTTCACTAAGTAGGATGTGCTGTACCTTTTTTAGTGCCTCATTGTCCGGAACGTTGTAGACAATAGCACTCAGTTTTGCGTCGAGTCGTTTTGTTACTTCTGTGGTAACAAAGTTAATGAGGTTATCTACCTTAGTTACCGATTCTGTGTCAAGCTTGTTAAGGTTTACCGTTTTCATGAGGATAGTTAGAGGTGTCAGTTCACAGACCTGCGATCTGATATCGCTGATCTGATCTGATAATCTGGATATCTCAGTATTGGTTTCGATGTTTCCAGCATTTACTGACTTGCTGTTTTTTATTTCCCTTAACTCAGCCTTAAGTTCTCCTATAGACAACTTTAGAAGTTCTATTTCTGAAGATAGTACTGAAAAAGAGCTTGATGGCTGGAGTTTCTCCATAAGCACATAAGGTGAAGGGAGGAGTTCTGTATGAGCAGAGGGTACCGAATTTTTAAGAGTAGTGCTAATACTGGCTGTCAGTACAGTTTTATCCTCAGTTTCAGCTCGACGCTTACGGCATACACGTGAGTTATGTGACTCACTATAGCCGTTTGTTGGGCGTGTGTTGCTTGATGTAGCAATCAAGGACGTTAAATTAGACACCAGTTTTACAGGGGAGTGGGTTCGCTGCTTTTTACTTTGATTAACCATAACTATTAGAAATAAGAGTTAGTGGTTACAAGTATGGAGGTAGTATAGTACTTGTGCAAGTACTACAACAAGATAAATTTTATGTAACGAATCACGTAAAAATGTAACGCAAACGTTGAACGTACCGCGATAACATATCGTTGGATACTTTCCATCCTTAGCTTGTCACGTGTGCGAGTGCTGCTTATAATAAATGGACAGTATTCTAGTAGTGGTCTGACACATGTTTTGTACAGAATTAGCTTGGCTTCATTGTCGTGAAAGTTCCTGAGTATGCATCCTAAGAGCATCCTCGATTTTCTAGTCTGTGATGCTACTTGCTCAGAGAATGTCAAGTCACTAGAGTACCTCAGGCCTAGGTCAACGACACTTCGGAGTCTGGTTAGGTTAGCAGATTGGAGCGTTAATTTCAGGTCAATTGAGGGTGCACCGAAGCAGATCCAGCCACATTTGTTCAGATTGAATTGGAGATTCCATAGGGACGACCAAGCAGTCATTTTATCTAATTCCTTCTGCACTACATTCTCGAAGTTCCCTAAGTCATCACGTTGGAATGTATAAGCTACTTTTAGGTCATCTGCAAAGATGAATGGTTTCCCGTGCGTGAAGCAAGCGCATATGTCATTGATGTATAGTGTAAATAGGAGGGGTCCAATGACACTACCTTGTACTACACCAGAAGTGATAGGGCTAGGTTTGGAGGTTGCAGACCCGAGTTTAACTATTTGGGACCTATTGTTAAGGAATGATTTAAGCCATCCTAATAATGGGTCACGTATTCCTAAGGAGTTCAGCTTATTTGTTAGCAGTAAATGGTCAACACGGTCAAATGCCTTAGAAATGTCAAAGTAGATGACAAGTACTAGTTGCCGTCTGTCACGACTGCTGGTTACAAAATTGAAGAAGTCTAGGTGACATGTTAAACATGATCTGGATTTCAGGAATCCATGTTGGTTCGGACTTATAATATTGCAGCTAAGCATATGTTTGATTAGGTTATCTTTGACTAGTCTCTCCATGATTCTAGATGCTATAGGTGTGATATTGATTGGCCGGTAGTTACTGACTTCAGTTTTCGAGCCAGATTTGTGTTTAGGCATAATGAATGTAGTCTTCCATATGTCAGGGTAAGTTTGGGTTTCTAGGGACATTGTGAATATTTTAAGCAGCAGTAGAGGAATGTCAGGGCCACCATATTTATAGAAGTAAGATGATATACCGTCGGTACCGAAACCTTTTGAACTTTTGAGGGTTCTTATAGTTTGGTTAATATTAGCGTAAGTGAATTGAACAGTGCTAATTTGGTTTGGTGTGAGTGGAGATGGAGTTTGTGCCATATTAGTAATAGGGTGTATATCGAGTAGCTGGACTGAGGGCTTAAGGTAGTTACCTGCAAACGTTTTGTTGAATAGTTCACATATGTCTGCAGAGTTAGTGCATAGCCTACCTTTGTCTATGAGGAGAGAAATGCTGTGATTTTTGCGATTCATTCGCTTCCTTAAGATTTCTGTGAGTGCATACACTCTAGCAGGACTGGCTACTGCGATGCGTTCTTCCTTTCTCATACGGAAATCTCGAGCTTGTGAGATGGAGCTAAGGGTGTTAAGTATTAGACCTAGAGTGCCAAAGTCGTGGTGTTTGAAGTAACTTGTTGAGAGTTCTTCAGTTTCTTACGATCCTTTGGTTTTATGAATGACTTTCTGTGTGGGGAAACCTTTAGTGTTTGGAGTGGAATGACAGCATCTAAGCATGTGTTAGTGTTATGGTAGAAGATGGTTAGGGCTCTCGATAGGTCATCAGTAGTGAAGTATTCATCCCATTTGGAGGATCTTAGCATTGATTCTACTAAGGCCCAGTTTGCCTTACTATAGTTCCTATATATTACTTGTTGTGAAGTGGAGGTATGAGATGCATTGCTACTCAGCGGAATTGGCAGTGCACACATTACTGTTTTGTGGTCGCTCCCTGGAAACTCAGAACCTACTAGCGTTGAAAGGGGGCTTATATTGTGGCAGAAGATTAAGTCTAGTACGTTGTTACCTCTTGTGGGAGTAGTGACAGTTTGTTTCCAGCCAAGTATATCCAGTGTGCCTAAGAACTTATCAAATTTAGTTGGGCCTGTGGGTATATCCCAGTTGATTTCAGGTAAGTTAAAGTCCCCACATAGGATCTTATGGTCGTATTGTAAGTCGGATAATTGCTCCAGAGTATTAATAAGTTGGGTCTCGTAATTACTAAAGGTGCCAGGTGCTCTGTAGGTGCATCCAATTAATGCTGTTACGTTATTTAAGTGTACATTAACCCATAGAGTCTCAGGCATGTTAAGTGTACTACTTTCTAGCTGTGATACAGTAAGTGCATTCAGAAAGTACATGAGACAACCCCCTCCCTTACCACCTTCCCTGTCACACCGAAAGTGTGTGTAGTTATCTAAGCTTATTTCTTCATCCAAGATGTTCGAATGACACCAAGATTCAGTGATGACAATTACAGGGGGTTTGTATATTACTGTGAGTGCTCTGAGCATCGGCAATTTATTTAGAACAGATCTAGCATTTATGAGGATTAGGTAAAGATGAGAGTTGAAGTAGCATTTGAAGTATTTAAGTTCGTTAGTCAGCCCCGAATATGGTTCAGCACCCAGTAGTTCTGCTTGACATGATGATCCTATGTTAAGAGGAGTTTCAGCATCATGCTCACCTATGTCTATCGAGTTGGTGTGTGCTGTTTTCGGTGAAGAATTAAGAGTTGGAGTACTGGATTTGCTATAGACTAAGGAATTTTTATTTTTAGTTAGGTTACAGAAGTGGGTAGGGTTCTTTATTTGACCTATACTTGTGCAAGTGTCAAGTGTGCCTAATGGATACGGGTGCACTAGACCGTTCCTGTTTTCATGCAAGGAGGGAGCCAGCTCTAGTGGTTTAGGAGTGTTAACATCCCTACCAGCTGTTTTTTCAACGCTGACAGGGACGCGGGGGATAAAAAATGATTGGATCCTTGTGATGACCATGGCTTATTATTCCACCTATTGTTTGATGCTAGTTGTGTCCTTGTGTGGGTTTCGTGTGTACTGCATTTTGGGTTAGTTCCCAGCAGACTTGTACCATATATCCGGTCAAAATTTGTTTGTGTGCCATACTCTGAAGACCCTGAGTTGTTGATAGCCGAGTTCTGACTATTACCACTTGTACTATTTAGGGTGACATTGTTGTGACATTGGATATCAGTGTGTGCCATGGTGCGATTTAGCACGTTGTGGGTGCTAGTACTATTGACCGTGGGAAGTGTGGGTTTATTTAAGCTGCCACTGTTTTTGTTTGTATGATTTAGGGGCATATTTTCCTTACCTTTAGCAATGAAGTTATGGCTAGGAGAGGACAAAGTCGAATTTCGGGGGGTTTTTACTTTTTTTCTGGGGTTATTTAATGGCATTTTAGATTCTGCGGTGATGGGTGGTATGGTTTTGTTATTTATTTGGTTACAGTCTAGTGGCCTTTCGGCTGGTGTTGCACTCTGATGGGATATTTCTGTGTGTTTTGAGAGGGGTGATGCGGTGGGGTCTACTGTATCTTTCACAGGGTTGGGAATAATGGCTGCTTGCAATGTCCTATTACCTATTTCACAATTAGTCTTAGCAAGATAGTTGTATGCGCGCCTTTCTATGACTGTTTTGTCCACCCCGACCTTTATATGTTTGTAGTTTCTGGCTTGCGATAGGGTGTGTTGGGAGTGAATGAATTTTCTGGTCTCTGCCGGTGTTTCGAACTGAAAACGAATAGGACAACACTTTTCATGTTGACTCTTCTTCAGCCTATAGCACTTAGTCTTGGAGTTAGGCATTTTCGCTTCACTAAGTAAGATGCGCTGTACCTTTTTTAGTGCCTCATTGTCCGGAACGTTGTAGACAATAGCACTCAGTTTTGCGTCGAGTCGTTTTGTTACTTCTGTGGTAACAAAGTTAATGAGGTTATCTACCTTAGTTACCGATTCTGTGTCAAGCTTGTTAAGGTTTACAGTTTTCATGAGGATAGTTAGAGGTGTCAGTTCACAGACCTGCGATCTGATATCGCTGATCTGATCTGATAATTTGGATATCTCGGTATTGGTTTCGATGTTTCCAGCATTTACTGACTTACTGTTTTTTATTTCCCTTAACTCAGCCTTAAGTTCACCTATAGACAACTTTAGAAGTTCTATTTCTGAAGATAGTACTGAAGAAGAGCTTGATGGCTGGAGTTTTTCGATAAGCACATAAGGTGAAGGGAGGGGTTCTGTATGAGCAGAGGGTACTGAATTTTTAGGAGTAGTGCTAATACTAGCTGTCAGTACAGTTTTATCCTCAGTTACAGCTCGACGCTTACGGCATACAAGTGAGTTATGTGACTCACTATAGCCGTTTGTAGGGGGTGTGTTGCTTGATGTAGCAATCAAGGACGTTAAATTAGACACCAGTTTTACAGGGGATTGGGTTCGTTGCTTTTTACTTTGATTAACCATAACTATTAGAAATGGAAGTTAGTGGTTACAAGTATGGAGGTAGTATAGTACTTGTGCAAGTACTACAACAAGATAAATTTTATGTAACGAATCACGTAAAAATGTAACGCAAACGTTGAACGTACCGCGATACAGAGTTTGTACTCGAAATGTCATCAGTTAATATTACTGTACAACACTGTGTGATTCATCAAAATAAAATCTTATCTTTAATAGGGTTATGCTGTACCACAGTGCCGAAGTTTTATACTTATATTGCTCTTTGTTCTTATTCGTCACTTGTATAAAGTCTGGTTGCTCTGGCGGAAAAACAAAACAACATCAGTGTTTGAACAAAGCTGTGTTTTCGTCTAAGTATTGTAGTTTCCATGGCAAGGCCAACATGGTTAGCATTAAACAATGCAAACGTATACAATCATCCCAAGGAGTCTCCAGCTCCTTTCTGCATATATCTTGTAAATGCACTTCCAATAACCCTTATCCCTTATTGTAGACATTCTACAATTCGGGACCATATCATACTTGATCGTGCCTGTAAAAATGGCATGCAGTTCCTGTAAACCTACTTGTTTTTATAGAATATATCATTATTATTTTATGACGTCTTGAGAAAATTACAGTCATCTTATTTGTGATACGGCTTTCTGCGTAAGCTGGTGGTGCAGTTTCATTAGAAGATAGCATTGACTTAGGTCTACTGACAGAAAAGGAGACCTACTTTTTCTCTCAGCGTTAACCATATGGATTACTCCACCAGACCGTCACCCTCTTTTCTGCTCCTCTCTGTACCTCTTCCAGGAGAATGGCGTCTTTTTATTGTAATTATTGGACACTGATACTATATAACTAATAATGTAATCGGACACAAGCTTTGATCAACCCTTTAGAGGTTTGAGTGAGAGTTCCCGTACACCTGAAATATTTAGACGCATATATATTGATCTCGTCACCTAAGCCATCCACAAGTGTGCCAAACGTATCGGTAGGAACGAGACACCAGTTGTGCTTCTGCGCTGACCAGGATGAATTATTGTCATATAGGGTATAGGCATTTCTCCATAGTTTTGGCGCGAATAGTCTGACTGATCGGAGTTTTTTGAAATGGCAATCCGTCCCATTGGATAGAATCTTGTGATACTCCATGGGCTCCAGCCTTGTGAAGAAAAATTGACCTTAAAGACCTTTGTACAGAATCATATTCGGCTTTAATGCTTGAGAGCAATGAGCAGCCAGTGATACCGTTGCCCATATCATGAAGGAATACAGTGTTAAATGCTTTCGCGAAGCCAAGGATGACCACATGAACAAAAGCATTCATTTCCGACCGTGATGACTAGCGGTCCCTTAGTAACACCAGGAATCCGTCAGCATGTTTCCTCATATGGTTGTCAGTAAGACTTTGATACGACTGGGAGTCATGGCACTAGTATGTAATTCAGTTCCCTTGGTCAAACTACATTTTGGATGACACGAAAAAATGGCTCATTTCCACACTTTGTGTAGTCTTTCTGTCTCTAGAATATTTCAGCTTGTCACGTATATGCCTGCAGAGATGATCTGTACACCTTTTTAACCATTTTCCGAGAGTCAGCAAAACTAAAGACTTTGTGTTTCAATGGTTGAACTATTCACAATGCGCAGCACTCTCTTTGCCTCTCATTAACTATGGACAGTGTTTGCTACAATTTACGGTGATGATGGGGACTGTGACTCAAATCACCGTTTGAATCATCCACCTTACTATTATGTGACAGTACTGCCTAATTCGTGGTTGCTAGACAAACATTTTCTCATTTCGGTGTGCTCAACTCTGATAAAACACAGACAATGTCGCACAGTAGCTTGCTCTCGGCGATTGCAGATACCTAGTTCGAGTACAAATTGACTGTTGTCTGAGTGGGTTTTGATTAGATTTTGACTCTCAGCCTTGTGCGTCTGTGGCACAGTGGTTAGAACTCTCGCCGACCATGCACAAAGTCCGGGGTTCGAACCCACACCGACGAACACCTGATATCTATGGTCGGCCTGCGAATTTTGGGCTACCGATATCCACGCTGAAAATTCCATACTTGTACCAAAAATACGGTGTGGAATCAAAATGTAATCAAAAAATAAAAGAATTATCCTTCAGTGTATCAGTAGCTTGCTCTTAGAAAAACTTTGGGGAAATTTTCGCCTGTGTGCATCCGTAATGGAAATTTTTGTTCCAAATGGATGCACTGCGCTACAAACATTATCCTTTTGCATGTCCCTAGTAGTTACATCATTTCTTTTCTGTCTTGCGTTCAGTCCACCTCACTACATTCCTGACTATTACCCACTCGCCTTACCTTATTCTCCATTAATTTTGTAGGCCTATTCTCTCAACTTCCCTTCCACCCCTTTAGTATCATTTCCCTGCATTATTTGGCTACTTGGCCGAAGGATTGCCTGGTGAAGTAAAATTTTCAAGTTCTGGATAGCCAGTGCTCTGGCACCAATGCACCCCTGCAATACTCTAATGTACCTCCTTCTATTGCGTTCAGGAAAGCGAAGGTATTTGTGGGCACAAATTGTACTGAAATACACCAGAAACCCAGAAGCGTTATGACAAAACAACAGAAGGGTACCAGTAAATCATAAGGCACGTATGAACTAATCAGAGAAAATATTGGATATAGAATGAATGTTCATTTTTAAGCGGAAGCTAGACAATCATGCAGAAATGCAAGGTTTGTGTCTCAATGGCTTATCCTCATAAAGCTTAAAACCACACTGTCAATGGATAAGCGTACAAACTAAATCCCCACGACCTATTCTGCCTTCTCTCACTCTATCTTTCCCTTAGGTCACCATTGTTATTTCACTTATCTCAACCCATATTATCTGCACTACAACCTGTTATTATTACTATTCTGCTTTTATGACCACATCGAATGACCAACAGGAGTTAGGTCAAACTACATTCACGGCAACAATACAGTCCTAACATACTGCATACTACAAACCACATCTTGATTAATCCCCGCACCACTCCTCTTGGAGTCTACCAGAGGTAAAGCAGTCGAGTGGCGGGACTTACTACGCAGAAGCTCACCGAAGATCTGGAACCTCTACCTCACAATCAAGGAGTGAGCTCAAAGAAATCACTGGTTTATACTAGCTCGTAATCAGGATATTGGATATTGAATTCGTCATTGGACTTTTAAAAAGCGGCAATTCAGTTGAGAGTCATTAGCTACCTTTTGATTTATTGTGTGGACTTTGCCACCATAATGTTTCATTCCGATGGAGGATTATCTAAGCCTCCTGGAGAAGTGATTGAGCAAACGAAAAAACAAATTTTGAAAGGCTTAAACGGGAGAAACTGTAAATATATGCCATTGAGCTGTTCGACAGAGACGGTCACTCTTTGTAATAACACGGAGTTTATGGAGAATGACGTAAAAGTTATAAACACAACATGTAGTTCTTCTTCGGAGGAGTTGAATGCAGTTACGACATTTGCAAATCTTGAAAATGCCATTGAATCGAAAGTCTCTGAATTCTTTAATACAAACTGTAAGGATGGATTGTGTTCGGTGCATAATAAAAATGATGATAAGGTAAAGTTCTGTGGTTTTATTCAGATTTCGGCATAGGCGTTTGGTGACACATTCAGATGTGTTGAAGTGAAGCAAGGCATATGTGAGCAATTATATATATATATATATATATATGCATTCATTTATATTTTATTTGATATTTTAACTTTGGAGTTGTGTTGGTTAATAATTTATGATGACACTGAGTGTTCTCTTCTCATTTGATAACGTAGGCTCTTAGTTTAGTCTACTTTGTATGGACTGATTTTTCGGGTCTTGTGCAAAGAAGTTTCTTGAGCTGAAATATGTATAATCTATAGTTGAACTTCTCCCGTAACGATCACACTATTAAAGTGGTGTTGTGTATGGGCATTTTTCTCCAGTGTGGTACACATTACCACTCACACTTATTAATCTTGATAAACTGACTAGTTGGTTTATGGTGGCCTTATTTATTAACTCATTAGCCGGTCAATTTCCTTACCTTTGAGCTTTATTTAAGATCCTTCCGGTGTGGGGGATAATAACACGGAACAATATAAAGTCAACAAAATGGCACAAATAAACTTTTGAGCAGAACGTATTAAGTAATCGATAAAAAGCATAAGCCAGTTAAGACTGCTCCACGTATTGCTTCAAATGTTACTGGCATTTTATAAGAAAAAATGTCGGACATATAGAAGATAAGTAGGAACGGAAGAATGAATATTCACAACAATGGTGTCAACGAGTGAATACTATCCGTTTGGGAGTATATTACAAGAAATAAGCTTGTTTGTCAGTCAGCCAAGTTTGGCGCTTACTATTTTCCTTGAAGATTTTAGCACCTAAAATCTCCTTGAGATTCTACACCTCGAGCAAGATGTAACATGAGCTCAGCAGTAATTCCATATTAGTTTGTTTGTTAGATGTATCGCACAGTGAAACAGTATTATTTACTGGATGACGTTTCGAACAAAATGTATTGTTCATAATCATATTAATTGTAATCACACGACTTTGAAACTTGAGTTTTATAGTTTTCTTTGTCTTCTCCTATTTGTCGTATGGGTAGTAGAATTTTCCAGATACCATACGACAAATAGGAGAAGACAAAGAAAACTATAAAACTCAAGTTTCAAAGTCGTGTGATTACAATTAATATGATTATGAACAATACATTTTGTTCGAAACGTCATCCAGTAAATAATACTGTTTCACTGTGTGATTTATTTTTATTTTATTTTTGATTTACAGCTTGATTCCACACTGTATTTTTGGTACAAGTATGGAATTTTCAGCGTGGATATCGGTAGCCCAAAATTCGCAGGCCGACCATAGATATCAGGTGTGCGCCGGCGTGGGTTCGAACCCCGGACCATGTGCATGGTCGGCGAGAGTCCTAACCACTGTGCCACCGACGCACGAATTAATATGGAATTACTTACTACCACAGTGCCTAAGTTCAACACATTTATTAATAGCTCAGCAGTAAATATAGGAATGTAAACGTTTACAACCAGGTATATACAAATAACACCATTTCATACAGCTGTAGACACGTTAAAATGACATGTCAAGAAAGTTATCTGAGTCATTTTCTTCTGGTGTGTTGAGCTGAGTCATTAAGGGGGGGGGCTGTTGTTCATCGCAGAACCGTTGTCTTAATTCCTCAGTGGTCCAAAGTAGCTGAAAGCTCAGGCTCAGAAATGCTGTGAAGTGGAATACTTCACAAATAGTGTAAATATGTTTTAAGTTTTTTTATTTCAGTTAGCTCTGTGCAACATTATGTTACTTGCATGCTTAGTTTAATAGATCAGTTGAATTAGAAACGATGCTTATAAATACTTTACGCTTTACGATCGCCTGATATCTTTGCTCTCCCAACTTTAAGTTCTTGTTCACCGTTCTTGATGCAATTAAAATGGGGGAAGCTAAGTAATATACTATTTTAAGCACGTTATTACTCAGCCAATTTGGTGATGCTTGCTCTCCCAAGATGTTGAAGAACACCAAGGTAATATACTAATTTGTAGAAAGTTGAAGTACATTAGAAATAAAATACAAATACAATGAGATAAGTGGCGAAAGATACACCTCAAAATGTAAGGCTTTGCTCGTTCCGTCTTAAAATTACACTAAAATATTATCGTATAGTGAAATAAAACACGTATCTATTAGTGCTTAATTACTAGTGATTCCTTAACTATAATCTATTCCTAATGCGGTGTACTTTAAAATTTGTGTGAGCCTCAAAAGCTTTGGACTGAAATTTACTCTTATTTAGTTTAACTTATACTCGTTGGCTTGTATGCTGTCGCATTCATCAAGTCCAACACAACTCATAAATGTATGATCAGTTCATGAAAAGGGTATGTCATTGGAGCATTGGATTGTCTTATAATGATGTTGAAAGGTGTTGAATTGAATTCTTGATTTTCCCGTCGATTGATTGGACCGAAGTGCCTGAGACCGAGCACTTCGGTCCAATCAATCGACGGGAAAATCAAGAATTCAATTCAATAATTAATATGACCCGTTGCACAAGAGGTGGCTCTCGTGGCCCAAGTGGTCTAGTGGATAACGCTTTGGCGTTTGAAACTATGGGTACTGGGTTCGAGCCTCGGTGGGAACGTCATCACTCACTGAGAAATGCAGGTACATCCAGATGACGAGTCCCAAATAGGACGAAATGCGCATCCTGGATTCCACTGCTAGCCACCATCCACCAATTGTATACTAATGTTGAAAGGTGGTTTAATCTTTTCAAGGGATTTATAAAACTGGTCAATTGTAGGAAATCTTATATGTCGTTTGCAAAAATGGATTGTTTCTGGCATTTAATCAGAACATAAATTAAATTTTTCTCAAATTATGGGTCTGTCTGTCTGTTTATAATGTCTTCTTCAAGACGTCTTTCAGTCAATAATGTGACGAATTCTCCCTAAAAATCATCAAAAAACTGATTTCAAGAAGATGAATTACTTTTTTTTGATAAAAATATGTTTCTAGTTAAAGTGTTTCAAGACAAGGTTCCCGTTATGAATTTAGACAAAGCAATATGAAGCTATGACTTGTCTGAATCGTGTAACGTATTTGCGCAACACATTTCTAACAATCTGATCACACACGGACTTGTCATAGGAATGAATATATATGAAATTAATAAAGAGTTAAGAGGTGAGAAAATAGACTACTTAGGTCAAGTTGAAAGGACACATTGAAGGTGAAAATAACAACAATGAAGATCACTTAACCAAATAAAAGAGGTAATAGTACATCTAACTTGGCTGATATCAAAACAAAGTTTAGGAAGGAAGGTTTATTTGTGTGACAACGAATTGTTTTTGAACGCATAAAGGTGGTTTAAACTTTCTAATTGCTAGCTAGGGCTTTCACAAACTTAAGGATACGCTATCCCCAAAACACGTCTCATAGATAGGTTTGAAAGATATGTTAACGTCAATTTTATGTCCTATCTCTTTAAAATGTTTCGCAATAGAGGAGCTAGGTCTCCTGTTCTCACCATTAATTAATGGATTCTGATGATTCTACTTGTTTCTGAAGCCATTTAAGAATATGCTCTAAAGTCAGCCCTTACTTGCAGAGTTCAATGAGTCCTTCCTCCTGTGTATGTGTGTATGTCCACACGTACATCCAAATTGGTAAACACAAGATTATTTTGCCAGAACTCACTAGTCAGTCATTGTCTGTAATATCATTTAAAAGCTGGGAGAGGGAAGTAATCTGCACATGAGTTTTTTGTCAGAATCACTTTTTACCGTGCTTAGTAATTCGATAATGTCCTTCTTTCTGTTTATCAGTCCCCTCGTTTTTTGTATTTCAATTACCTAGACAGCTGTATAGTAAAGGCTAACTTGTTTTGTTCGAATCAACTGTTATCACTTTCAGTTTAAAAGCAGTTCGCTCCGTCCTCCTTTATGGCTGCTAGACGTGGCTATTGAGAGTGAAAGACATGAAAAGATTAGCTGTCTTCGGTCGTAGGTGCCTGCGTTCTATCTCCCGGGTGAAGTGCCATAATAAGGTGAGCAATATTAAGGTTAGGTGTCGAGTTCTAGGTAATGAGGGGAAATCAATCGACGAGGCTGTGAAGTTACATCGACTGAGATGGTTAGGACATGTGTTACTTATGCCTAGTCATCGCCTTCCTCGACAATGGGCATTGTTTTTTTTTTTGATTTACAGCTTGATTCCACACTGTATTTTCGGTACAAGTATGGAATTTTCAGCTTGGATATCGGTAGCCCAAATTCGCAGGCCGACCATAGATATCAGGTGTGCGTCGGTGCGGGCTCGAACCTCGGACCATGTGCATGGTCGGCGAGAGTCCTAACCACTGTGCCACCGACGCAGACATAGGGTCAAGCTGGAAAAAAGCTAGTGGAAGTCAAACAAAAACATAGACTGACCAGTCAATGAAATCCCCAGAAGTTAATCTAAGCTACGTAGGAAGGTGTAGACTTTCTGACTGGCTGGTTGGGGACCTCGGGATGGTAAAAACCAATGGTTGGAAACAATCGGTGATATGGCTGAAAATCGTTCTCAATGGCTGATGCAGATGTATCCACTCCTTGTGACTTATGATTTCCAATGAAACTTTATTGTTCTTCGTCATTACTATTCCTTTGTCTCGCACCTCTGTTTACTGTCTCTTTTATGCATTTCTTGTACTTTCTTCTCTTGCTTTGTGTGCTACAAGGATGGAGTGTGGCGACTTGAACTGGTGCACATCGGTGGAAATTTCTATGTCGAAAACAGACAGACAGACAAGCTGTTTTATTTAACAACAATAATGATAATACTGGATCGGCGTGTGTTGACTAACTTTCAAAGCTTTAATTCCAGAATACTAATTAAATAACAGTCATTATCTCTTTTACTTCAAGAAGCTTTCATCATAAGCTTTTTTTTCTTTAGATTAGTTAATTTACCTTGTTAAAAATTATTTTTATTTTTGTGCAAAACGTTCTTTGATTTAATAATTCCTTCAAGTCCCACGAATGACTGACTGGCTGACTGCTTTCAATATGGATATTTGAACCAATGTGCAGCAGTTCGAGTCGCTCGACTGATAGCTCCTACATTGGGCTTGCATATCGCAATGACCCGAGAACGTGTAACAGCTGGAATTATTGTTCCTACAGGTCCTACAATGCAAGAAAGGTTGTTAGGATAGCGATTAGACTAAAAGCAGTTACCGGCATAATGTAAGGATGTTTTTAACCCTATGCTGGGGGTCTGTAGGAAAAGTAGTACTGCTGAGGAACAGAATGTAACAGCAGTAAAGTGTTTCCCTCAGATGACCAGCATACCTGCTAGCTATGCTGTCTCTCTTCCTCTGGAGAGAGGAGGTTAGAAAAGGTGGACCCTACGGTGGTACGTAACGAAACCAAGAAACCAGTACATACGGGCTGTGTGTAACCGGCTGACCTAAAGCAATTATACCCTGGAATCTGGGGTCACACAACACTAACTGTCTTTCAGTCTCAGGTACTCCGAGAAGGAAAATCAACTTCGAAGGTGTGGGTAGCAGGGAATTATCAACCGCTCACACACTTCTAAAAGCACACGAAGCCTTTCTGAGCACCATTCTCCTCTACCCACCCTCGAATCATAATCTTAACTGACCTAATGTGGTTTCAATTCTCCTTTGATTGTTTGTTTTGTTACTGTTGTTAGCTAGTTCCCGACATCAATTTGTATCAGTTCTCTTATGTTCTTTCAAATTTTAAAGTTTTTTTGACGAAATTTGCAAGTAGCTTTGTTCTTAATTGAAGGAACTAAGACATGTACATTGTTAAATAACACTTATTTGATGCTTCTGAAATAATTCTTGTTTCAAGTGTTGATTTGTAGGGGTTTGATTGATTGGTTACAGGATTTCATCATGAGCTGATATTGGTTAGGGAACCATTGGAAAACCTACAGGGACTACTGGACAGCTGTTTCGTCAGCCTAGTTTGGGACTCTTCATCAGTGCGCACCCACCGGGGTTCCAAACTAGAAAATTAAGATTTCATGAACAGAAGTTGGAATTCATGGGCCATAGGATCAGGTCCCAGTGGCTTAATGGTCCACGAGCTCGCCTTGTAACCAGAAGGTCCTGGGTTCGAACCCTGGTGGTGGGTGCGTACTAATGAGGAGTTCGATGGTTCTCTAACCAATGTCATCTCATGATGAAATCCTGTAATCCTTGTGTCAAACAGTCTAAGTATACGTCATCGTAGTGTTTATGATCTAAAAGCTGTACTTCATAAATCACATTTAATATTTCATTTTGATCATAAGATGCTTAATTTCATGCACTTGTGAGTGACAACTGTTGACAGGGTATTATTGACTTTTCAAAAGGCTTCTAATCATTCCTGTTATTGAATAAGTGTAATTTTATTGTTTAATGCTGATAATTTCATTTTCTGGGGGGGTGAGGTGTTTTATGGAGTACTGTGGATTTCTTTTTAATGACTTAACTTTCTTCACATTTACTGTACTAATTGATGCGTATTACGAATCCTTCAGATAGCGTTCTAATACAGCTCTCCTTTGTGTGTTATGCTATTGACACTTCAATATTTAGTTTGTACAAAAAATAACATGATGTATAACCACTCATGAATACAGATATGCTATACATTCAGGATAAAGTTGTTCAACTATCTGAAATTTAGTTAAATAATAACTAGAAATGAGGTGATAAAAAGAGCATTCCCTGCTGCCGAATTACGTTGTGTCTTCAAAACCACTCGTCTTTAGCGTTCGGGAGTAAAAGACAAACTGCCTAATTTCGCCTCTTCTATGTGTATCTACCAATTTAACTGCTCTGTGGAGCCAGTAAGTTGCATTGGCCATACACAATGAGGCTTGTTTCTCGTCAAATTTCCGAACATCACCCTGCGTGGTGATTAAGTGAAGGACAAACAAATTCTATTCACACAGCGCTATTCTATCTCATCTTGTGGATACAGAACACAAAATTGATGTTAACCAGGTTTCAGGGTCATTTACCACATACCAACAAATCTTAACTTCGCCTTAAGAGTTCGTTTACTAAATATTGCTGATGCTGACTGTTGAGATCCATATTAAGAAGCCTAATTTATGCATCCAAAAGAAGCTGGTTCAGACATTTTCCTTACCTTGGCCATCTAGGTTTGAATGATCCTGAATTTTATGGAATTTTCCTAATTTTAGTTGATATTCTATTTGCTACTATATTTTTATTATTATTATTATTTAAGCATCTTTAATGAACTGTAATTCCATCGTGATCTTACTTTACAAATCGATATTGTTTAAAAAGCACACTAATAATGTTATTGACTACTATTCTGGAATATCTTTTGTATATAAACAAGCATATGTAATTGTAGAGTCGGAAGAGGAAATTATCGTAAAGGATATTCTTTGCTCAATTATTTTGTGTTTAATAATCAGCTTGTAGGGAATTTTCAACTGCACCAATAATATAGTCAGTGCGTTGACGGCAGAGTGGCTAAGACTCTCGCCGACCATGCAAATGGTCCGAGGTTCGATCCCCTGCCCCTACGCACACCTGATATCTATGGTCGGCCTGCAAAATTTGGGCTACCGATAGCCATGCTGAAAATGCCATACTTGTACCGAAAATACGGTGTGGCATCAAGCTGTAAATAAAAAAATATATATATTAGATGGTTCAATAGAAACTCAGGGCATAATTAATGGTTTCTTTTCTCCCTCATCTATCCTACGGGAAGATGTTGTTATCTCAGAACCAATAAGTTGATCATTATAACCGAATATATATATATATATATATATATATATATATATATATATATATATATATGCTAGGAATTACGCGAGGATTCTAATTTCGGTTCATTTATTGGTGATTCTACTGTAAAATTCTTCTCCATCACCTACGCGGTCCTAGTTCGATTCTGGGCCGATGCACCTCCTAGCCAGCCTAGCTGACAGTAAGCCCTGTTAAGAAGGAAGGTTAAATGCGAGGCTAGCAGCTAAAACTTCAATGTTCATGCTTGATGTCCTGCATTACACTCAGAATGCAAAGGAATCTAAGAAAAGGAAAGATTCTAATTTTCGTTGGATTAACTTGATCACCTTATTTCTGTTGATAGAAAAAATTCTTTCATTTTTTAAATATTCATTTTCCGTCTCTACTTATCTTCCTTCTTTTTAGATAATTGTTTTATTTCTGTGATCCATTCACGAAGACGTATCTACTTTCACCTGTGGTTACGTATAGCTATGGATTATCGATCTGCACGTGTTCTACGCACCTTTTATCTGCTTAAGTCAACTTTAATTCTTTGGAAATCTGGTATCCTTTTTGTCTAGTCTGATTTGCGTATTTTAATTCTTGATGAATAATGATTTCAACTCATTATGAGGTAGCAAATACTTCTTTCTAATAATAATAATGATTTACTGTATTCCAAAAACAGTACTTGTGATACAGAATGGAATTTTCAGCATTAATCACAATATTGCATCTAATTTCCTCAAATTATAAATAAAAATTAATCACACAGAAAATTTTCCACATTTACAATAGAGGTAGTGTCAAAAACACGCAGCATATAAAATGGAATAAATAATAATGATAACAGCTAGGGTAATAATAATAATAATACAAGTGAAAATTTCCGTTGGCTTGTGTCACACAGTATTGTCAATGCGATATAGAAATCCTAGCCTGTTTAAAAATATTGAATATAATGTTCTCTTTACATGATATAGTGAGGGGAAAAACAAAGATTACATCAGTCATAGAGATAAGTTGGTGTTTGCAATTATGAGAGTAAAACAGAGAAGTAACAGGACCATAAATATAATAGAAGTAATAAAAGTAAAACTTGAAGGTATATAAGGATGGACGGATGGAGTAAATTGTTTATTTACTAGATGAAAAAAGGTTAGTTAATTCTTGCCTGACACCATTTTCATCATCACATAAAATACGTTCCAAGTATGGTATCATAGAATTTCTATACTTAGACGTGCGAGCATACAGTTTTCTGAAGTTACTCCTTGTTCTACCTGAGGAGATGCAAGGTGAAAGCTGAGGGTAAAGTGGATGCTCCAAGTCAGACAAAATCCCTTTAGCAAATTTATTGCATGAAGTCAAGTGCCTATCGACAACGACGTTAACTATGTGGTCCACTGGGACACCACTCACCCTACTGACAGTCTTCAGTATTCTACGAATTGTGACATAGTCCTTTTATAAGCAAACCAGAAAACAATAAGGGTGAGCAATAAAGAAGAATAGGTAGGATGCAAGAGTTTATGAACTGTAAGAGGAGGGGTTGAGTTATACCCGAGTGTCTTAACTTCTTAATGTAAAATTTCAGGCGGAATATTTTACTGGAGATTGCTAAGACATGGGAAGACCAGGAGAGATCAGAAGAGAGAATGAGTCCAAGATACTTAATTTCTAATATGATTCCCATATCATTGTCGTCAATCTTACAAGTATCATGAGAATCGATGACTTCTTTTAACTGTCTTTTACATCTTAAGCTGAAATTAACAGTTTGACATTTAGAAGGATTCAGTTTAAGACCGTTAGACTCAGACCATTTGCTCACTCCCGATAGAAAGCTATTTATTTTAGGAGTTGATCACGGATTGATATCAGTTAGAGAACCATTGAAAACCAGGGAGTACTGGACAGCTGCTGTTTCATCCTAGTTTGGGAATCATCGGCAGTACGCACCCACTGGGTTTCGAACCCAGGACCTTCCGGTTACAAGGCAAGCTCGTATACCATTCAGCCACTGGGACCCGATTCAATGGCTCGTGAATTCTAACTTCTACCAATTCGTGATTTAGCGCGACCCCAACCATTGTCGTTGGTGGGACATCCATCCACACACGTGACATCTAATTGGACCTCACTGGTCACGACTTCTCACTAGAACTCAGGAAACTCCAACCTGTAGCAAGTCACTAGCGAGCATCAGATTAACTTTCTATAGTTTGGTTTGTAAGGATTAGTTATGTTTTACGAGTTGATCACGGATTGATATCAGTACCCTGGTTTTCAATGGTTCTCTAACTGATATCAATCCGTGATCAACTCGTAAAACATAACTAATCCTTACAAACCAAACTATAGATATTTATTTTAGTACAATCTAGCTGGGAGTTAACAGCCATTGAAACCGTTAAATCATCATCGTACTTCACAAAGTTTATTTCATCAGAGTGAGGCATTGATTACGAACTGATTTCAGTTATAGAATGGTAGAAAACCTGGAGAGTAATGGACATTTGTTTCGTCCTTCATATAAGTATAAAACTTGGGCACTGTGGTGGTGGTGGTGGTGGTGGTAGAGTATAACTCCATTGTGGATAAGATTTTATTTTGATAAAATCACACGGTGTAGTGTTATACAGTAATATTAATTAATGACCAGCTTTCGAGCACAATTTATTATTACTGCTCATAATCATATCAAGTTACTCACTCACACAACTAACTCTCTTGCTTCATTTATATACTTGAGTGGAATTGATGATTAGACATTTGATTGAATAAAAATCAACATGAGATAATGTACATTCAGAAATAATAATAATATGAGTGTTATTCATCAAATACCATCAGATGGGATATATATATATATATATATATATATTACTGTTTGCATATGTTGATCGATTGATTTTTGTTTAAAATGAACACCGTGCAGGTATGTTAAAATTATTTTTGTAGATATACTTAGTAATGACTTTGGCCTGTAAGCAGCTGACGAGAAGGCATTGAAATAAACAATGATGGTACCACTTTATTCTACAAATTCACCGTTGTTGTTCTTGTTTTATTCAAATTCATTAAGGGAATAAATGCATAAAATATTCTTTAACTTATTTGCTTTTACAGTTCAAGTTCCCATCTCTCTTTCTAATTGTGCCAATCATCCATATTACAACAAAAAGTATATAAGGAATTACAGCTATCTAAAGTTTCTTAATAATACATTTGTGTTATTTATTTTAGAACAACACACATTTAATTTTCAAGTATTGGTTTTGTAGAGATTTTGTTTGATCATTAGGGTACAGCAGGTTGAAGATGAGGCAGTAACTCATTGAAGAAGACATTGCGAAGTGGTCGCGCTATGTGGTGAATTGGCAGAAGTTAGAATACAAGGATCATTGGATCGAGTCCCAGTGGCTCAATGGTCTACGAGCTCGCCTTGTAACCAGAAGGTCCTGGGTTCGAACCCTGGTGGTGGGTGCGTACTGCTGAGGAGTCCCAAACTAGGACGAAACAGCTGTCCAGTACTCCCAGGTTTTCCAGTGGTTCTCTAACTGATGTCAGCTCATGATTAAATCCTCCATACAATCAAATAAACAAATGTTCAGGTGGAAGTAGTCGATAAAGGCTAGTAAAAACAAATGAACCGATTAAGTAATGCTAGATTGTAGGGTAAGTAAATGAGACACGTTTTAGTGAAGATATGATAAGATTAAGGGATGATAAGAGAGGGGTTGAAAATATGAGTAAGGGGTGGTGTTGAAGTCATTAGTTGGTTATGTCTTAATAGGCCAACAAGAAAGGGATAATGTTTGTACGAACTTCTTTTGAATGCATAGTTTAGGTATAATAGTTCGAATGCCTGTCGCCTCAGCTGTGTGCAGTAGACGAATACGAAGTCTATTGGAAAGATTCGGTGGGATACGATGAATTACTTTGAAAGCTCTCGTTTTATCCACTACATGACCACTATGAATTAAATGTGACAAAATTGAGCTACTGATTGTTTTGTCTGTCCTTTGCCAAGCCATCACGATGGGAGATGTTCACTAACACATTGGCTAAGCTGTCTAGTAGTACGTCCAACATAATTGTCACACCACAGGTGCAGCTGAATTGATAAACGTACATAGATGTGGCAAAACTGTCAAGCTTATCCTTCGTTTGCGTCCCAATCATTCGTCGGCTAGAGAATGACAAATATAGGTGTGCTGCGTAAAATGTTCTACGCATACTCCTTGAAAGTCTTTGGAATAGAATCTCACTTGATAAGTCACCATTAAATTGTAACCTAATAAATAGACGCTTTTTGAGTGCAGTCAGAGTCTCAGGTTTTCTCTCTGATGTTTTCATATGTTTCTTTATGAAACTACTCGGATAGCGCATCTCCGTCAAGGAATCGTGAATATATTGAAATTCCTTTTGTAAGAAGTCATCCGTACATATCTTTCTTACTCCGTTCGTAAGACCTTTAACAGCATTTCTTTTATATTTAATGGGCACGTAACTAAGAGGGGAGTTGTGTGTATTGCCCTGTGAATGTACTTTTTTCCATACACGCTTCTCCAAAGTGACTCATCTTCTCGCCTACTTAGCAAAACATCCAGAAAGTGTGGTTAATTATCCTGCTCCTCTTTACAAGTAAAAGTAAGCGAAGGGTGGACATTGTTGAATTTCAGAGACTTATATATATATATATATATATATATATTAGAGTTAAGCCTGATGAGATCTAATCGAAAACAGTATTGTTCGCTTAAATGTGTGTTGTTCTAAATTTTACTATGGGGTTATTAATTTTAGTATTCTGTAGCTTGTAAGTTATTTTATCACCCCTTTCTAGTGTTTTCGCTGTTTGCAAAGCTGAATCTCCTTAGCCGTGTTCAGAGTTGAACTCTCGAATTTCGCTTAGATTTCACGAGAAGAAAGCCAGAAATCATTATTGTGCTACATTGAAGGTAATAATTACTTTTCGAAAATAATTCATCATTTGGATTTGTTTTATTTGTAAGTGAATGGTCAACGAACTCTCTTGTTGGTGGTGTTGGTGGTAACCTGAAGGTCCTGGGTTCGACCCCCAGTGGGATAGTGGGTGAATATCCTTTCATAAGACGACGTGTTACGGTCGAAGGCTGGAAGAATTCGGTCTTTATCTTGGAATGCTGTTATGTAGCCATGTGTCCATAACCTCGGTCAGATCACTTCGATTTACTGTTTGTCTGTCTGTTTTCGGTATAGAACTTTGCACCGATGTGCACCACTTCAAGTCGCCACACTCCCTCCTTGTAGCACACAAAGCAAGAGAAGAAAGTAGAAGAAATGCATAATAGAGACAGTAAACAGAGGTGTGAGACAAAGGAATAGTAATAACGAAAAACAATATATTTCATTGGAAATCATAAGTCACAAGGAGTGGATACATCTGCACCAGCCATTGAGAACGATTTTCAGCCATATCACCGATTGTTTCCAACCATTGGTTTTTACCGTCTCGGGGTCCCCAACCAGCCAGTCAGGAAGTCTACACCTTCCTAAGTGGTTTAGATTAACTGTTGTAGATTTCAAATATCTGGAAAACTCTGTACATGGGTGTTCCATAATCCGAACGGATCTAAAAGCGTATGAATCTGAACTGGTGACGACTAGTTCTGTCCGACAGGGATGCCAACTCGCTATCCTCATTTCTATTCAATTTTATCATAGATGCATATGTTAATGAACTTAACCCTAACTCACTTTAGAGACTTAGGGACTGACTTGTTACCACCAGGGAATAATAGTCTCGTTGACTTAGATTTTTTTTCCTTCACGTTCCCAGTGGAACATAGGGCTTCAAGCTAGTGTCTTGAAGTTTCTGTAGCAGTGTTTATTTTTACAGGGTGTGGTTGCTAGCCCAACCTTTCCTCTTTAACATTCTCATTACTGGTTTAGCGAGGTAAAGGAGTGCGTCAGTGGCCGGGGATCGAACCCAGGACCATGTGCATGGTCGGCGGGCGTCCTAACGACTGTGCCACCGACTTTGAATACGCAGATGATATAGTCCTTCTAGGTGAAGATGTTGAGAAAATGCAGAGTCTTCTGAACATCTTGAGGGGCAGCAATCTTCAAATATTTGGCATGCGATTCGCTCCCTTGAAATATCAGATGATGCTACAGGACTCCACTACATCGACTCACTCCTAGTTCAAAGGTAGACGGCAGTGTGAAGTGGTTGACGAAGCGTGTTGACCACTTCACTTGTTATTTGGGGAGTTGAGCCAGACAGCGCCAGCGGGTTGATCACTGATGAAATCTTAACACGGATATAGAAGGCTCGTTTGGTACCGGCAAACTTACTCCATCTCTGTCTTAGTAGACGTGATGTCCAGAGCTGTCGACCAAAGGACGTGTGTACTCATATCTCTGTTTACTGTCTCTATTTTGCGTTTCTTTTTACTTTCTTCTCTGGCTTTGTGTGCTACATGAAGGCAGTGTGGCGACTTGAACTGGTGCACATCGGTGCAAAGTTCTATGTCGAAAACAGACATACAGAGGCATTGCCAATGTGGAACGAATTTCAAGTTAAGTGCCACGAGGTGGCCTTATAAAAGACAACTACATGTTTTGTTCTGGGCGTCCGAACAGGTGGTATCTTAGCCCTTGGAAAAACTATGAGTTTTTGTGTGGTGCCTCTCTCAGTGTTTTAACAATATTAATAATAATAATTAGTTATGTATTTGTGTTATTATTTGTTTTGTTTTTCTCAAGACTCGAACATTAATCGCCTGGATATTACACACAAGAATAAGACGATCGAAAAATGCCTTGAAGGATACAGCAAAGGCATATTACCGTCAACAGGTAAACTTAAAAGTGATTTTGTACTTGAATTTTAAAAGCCTAAAGATGTCTCATCTTTCTTTTCTAATACTTCATAAAATAGTCAATTCACTGATAAATGGTTGCTGAAGTAATGTATTCATCATGTTAGACAGCATTCTGTTCAACATAATGTTTCTATGCTGCTAACATTAATGATAACATATATAAGAGAGAGAGTATTAGTCATTCACTGTTATACCATATAAGCAGGGAACATCTGAGACCCTCCCCACGTAGGATTCTTAATAAAGCAGGAATTAAGGTGGTGGCATTTAAACCTACAAACTCACTCAGGTAGAACAAGCTCTGTAGGCTAAAGACCCCCTGTAGGTTGACCCAATTAGACAAAATAATATAATTTACAACATACCTTGCAATGACTGTGAGCTAAGTCAATTACATACGTCAAACTTGTAGATCACGCGGGGGTAGTCAGATTGTCGGAACATAAGAATTTAGCTAAGGTAAGAATGGTTGACACCCGAGAAGATAAGTAATTTAGAAAAAAATTCAGCGATTGCACTGCATGCATGCATTAACACACAACCACACAATAGGGTGGGTGGAAGAGGGTTGAAATTCTAAGAAATAATCTAGGTAGGTGGAGAGAAAGAGAGGCTGATTACTGAATCCTGGTTCATTGAGTGAATCTACACCCGACACATGCAACAGAAATGACTCAATGCAAATACCAGAGATGTGGAAGATATTATTACCACCAGTCAGTCAGTCAAATCAGAGGAGGATAATAAATAATCTGAAAATTGTATTTCAATTCATTTCAAGTACATCATAACATTCTAACAAGTTTTTTTTATTTATTTTGACTATAAAAACACTCGTCTTATTTCCCATCTGTTTGTAATTGATTAATAACACTCATATTGTTATTTCTGAATGTACATTATCACATATAGATATTTATTCCAATATCTAATTGATTCCACACATGTATAAGAATAAAGGAAAAATATTGTGTGAGTGAGCAGCTTGATATGATTATGAGTGGCAATAATTTGTGCTCATCAGTTAATATTACTGTATACCAATACTGTATGATTTATCAAAATAAAATCTTATATATAATTTAGTTATACTCAACCACTACAGTGCCTAACTTTTATACTTATGTCAATAACATTAATGAAATCTTTAATTGTTACTTTTGGGCATTTGGTTGGTTTAAAATTTGATCACGAATAACTGAAATTAGTTAGAGAACTATTGGAACCCTGGAAGCAAGCACTTGACAGTTACTATATCATAGGTTATAACTCTTTTCAAAAGTATGCAACCATGACCACTAAACCGGGATTTGAACACGGCGCCTTCAGATTACAAGCTGATCCTAATGATCATTCGATAGCTAACCCGTGAATTCTAGTGCTTGTCAATGTGCGATTTTTATTGCCACCGTTAGTCAATATCATTTGTGGATTGTTTCTCGTCACACTCGACTTTAGTGGACGACCTTGTTGATGACAACTTGTCAGTTGAACTTTGGACAATTGTGTCCTTGAGCCAGTCATTAGTGATTATAAGATCAGTTTTCAACTGTTAGTTTATAAAGATTTGATTTGCCATATATTTGATTACAGATTGATATCAATTAGAGAGCCGTTGAAAATCATCAGGGAGTACAGGACAGCTGTGTTTTTTTTTTGCTTCAAAAGTTAGAATTCATCGACCGATAGATGCAGTCTCAGCGGCTAAATTATCAATGAGCTTACCTCATAAGGCCCTGTATCTAATTTCCCGTAGGATGATTATTGCGTACTGACGAGGAGTTCCAGAAAAGGACGAAACGGGAGTCCAGTATTCCATGGTTTTCCAACTGATGTTAATCCATAGTTGAATAAGAATCATGAAATCTGTAAATTTTCCCTTTTTGATAGACGGATGTTTTCACAAATTGATTGTATCTGCTGGTGACTAACATAGCCGTTCAATTGTAATTGTGTTGTTCGAAAGCTATCAACTACAAGATTGATGTTAACCAGGCATTTAGGTTGTTCATTTACCGCACACTAAGAAACCTCAATTTCGATTGAGCACTAGTATTTTAGTGTGATGTGTCTAGTCCTTTCTTTGGTGCAGACTGAATTCTACCAAGGTTGCAGATACACCTTGCTGAAGAGTGCCAACTGGGGCGAAACCTAGGTCCCGGCAAGGCTTCCTATAGCCGATTGCCTCCAACCATCTTATATCATCAAATCAATGTGTGCACCGTGATGGCGAGCTACCTAGTGGCATGGTGGCCACATTACAAACCTGACTGATAGAATTTAGTTTGCACAAAAGAACGGACTAACCAGACACATCACACTAGTTACTGTCTAGTGTTCAATCAAAGTATCCACTACAGTCCTACAGGAGCTTAATCGCGAGCCCGAATAGCTCGGTGGTAACGTCTCTGACTGCAGTTGGCACTGGGTGACGCGGTATCGAATCTCAGAAGGGACATGAGTTCCCTCAAGTTTGCAGATACGCCTTGCTGACGAGTACCAACTAGGACAAAACCTATGTCAAGAGAGCAAGGTTTCCTGTGGCCGATTGCCTCCAACCATCTAAATCTCAATTTCTCCTTAAGAAATCGACTACTTAATATTGCTGAGGACGGGTGTTGGGATCCATATTAAGATGCCTAATTTGTGCGTCTAAAAGAAGTTAGTACAGATATTATCCTGATCTTGGCCATCTAGGTTCAAATGATCCTGAATTTTTGTGGAATTTTCCTAATTTTAGTTGATATTGTATCTATATATCTTTTTTATTATTATTATTATTATTATTTGAGCATCTTTAATGAACTGTAATTCCATCGTGATCTTACTTTACAAATCGATATTATTTAAAAAGCACACTAATATTGTTATTGACTACTAATCTAGAATATTCTATGTATATAAACATGCATATATATATAATTGGATGGAGGATTTCATCATGAGCAAACATGATTTAAAGAACCACTGCTAACCACCTGGGAGTACTAGACAGCTGTTTCGTCAGCCTGGTGTAGGACTCCTCATCAGTAAGCACCCACCGGAACCAGTAAAAGAAATTATCGAAAGTTATTTTGTGTTTTACAATAATTATGTTAAGGCGAACAATACTGCCGTAAAATCTAGTAGGTATTGGTCCAAATGTCAGTAGATAGGCTGGTATTTACCAGGCAGCTGAGAAGGATTAATTCAGAATTTCTTCATCCGTTTTCCTTCATAGGTAGACATCTCGTAGACGAGATGTTCGACTATCGACCAAAGGGCGGGTGTACTGCTCATCAGTCCGCTCCGTCCTCCTTTATGGTTGTGAGACCTGGCCACTGAGAGTGGAAGACATGAAAAGACTAGCTGTCTTTGATCATAGGTGCCTGCGTTCTATTTCCCGTGTAAAGTGGCATAATAAGGTGAGCAACATTGAAGTTAGGCGTAGAGTTCTAGGTAAACAGGGGAAATCAATCGACGAAGTCGTGAAGTTACAAAGACTGAGATGGTTAGGACATGTGTTACGTATGCCAAGCCATCGCCTCCCTCGACGAGCAATGTTAGCGGATATAGGGTCAGGCTGGAAAAAAGCTAGCGGCGGTCAAACAAAAACTTGGCATCAGTCAATGAAATCCACAACAGTTGGTCTAAGCCATGTAGAAAGGTGTAGACTTCCAGGCTGGGGTCCTCGGGACGGTAAAAATCAATGGTTGGAAACAAATGGTGACATGGCTCAAAATCGTTCTCAGTGGCTAGCGCAGATGCATCCACTCCTTGTGATTTATGATCTTCAATGAAACTGTTTTGTTCTTCGTTATTACTCCTCCTTTGTCTCACACCTCTGCTCACTGTTTCTATTATGCTTTTCTTGTACTTTCTTCTCTTGCTTCGCGTGCTACACGGAATGTGGCGACTTTAACTGGTGCACATTTGTGCAAAGTTCTATGTCGAAAACAGACAGACAGACATAGGTATTCTATATATATATACATATATGAGTAAAGCCTTACACTAAACACAATATGCCTAATTGCCCCCCCCCGCCCTTTACTGGTACTATTATAATCATTATTATTGATTATTTTCCCTTTGTGTTTCGAGTGGAACATAGGACTTCACCAGTAAGTCTCTACTTTTTCCCATTTTTCTCGGTCCTCTTCAACTGGCCCCAAGATCTTCTCCATGTCATGTCATGTCATGTAGGAACGCCAACGCCATACTTGTCGTTTTCTGTCTGGGTTCTACTCGAGCATTGGCCTGGTGTGCGATTTCATTTGATCGTTTCCTTAGCGTGTGCCGCCCAGTTCACTTCCATTTTCTTCGGCATATCTACCAAGTTATAGGTTCGTCTTTCCCAGCTCATCTTCAATGATGACAGTCTGTAACATAATTTGAAATGCGCTTTTCGTGACTCGCAGCACAAGTTTCTGATTCATACAGAAGAACTGACTGACTTAGGTGTTGGTGTTGAAAATCCAACCCCTAATTAATTCTTTGTGGTGAGTGCAGCAGATTTCCCCATTGATTGATTAATTTCAGAGTGATGAAGGTGTCTACCTCGCCTGTCCAGTTCCAATTGTGACACTGCAATCTGTTCTGTTGCCAGTATTTGAAATCAAGTTGTCTAGATAAGTGAAAAAGAACAACTTCCTTCACACTTCTCACGTTGATGCTAACTGGTGCTTGTTGTTGTTGTTGTTGTTGTTGGTTAGTTATTTTCATCACCTCTGTCGTCAACTTGTCTATTTTCTCCTGCAGATCATCACGTTTGTGTGAGATCAGACATAAATCATCCGTGAAATCTAAATCTTTTAAAAGAATGGATATTGAACAAAGAATACTCTTTTCGATAACCTGCTCTTCATCATCAGGCTCTACAGTGATATATGCATCCATAATAGTGAATGAATGAATGAATTAGTGTTATGAACAACATTAGTGTCGTTGTTTAAATAATACCGAATCAATAATAATAATATATCAATGGATTACAGTTCGATAGCATCAACATAACACTACACACTGAATATCGCAGAAAGTAGGGAAGATAATAATACAAATTCATGAGTTTATACTCTTCACTAAAGTCTGGCCAGGGCAGTAGTAGTAGTGAATGGATTTGCTTCTTTTGAACATAGAGCACTGGTTGTATAAGGCGAATCGCAATAGCCTATGCTGTTTGGAGAATGCGGTACCTCGATGTTTTTGGCAATTTATTTGGTACCCCGATAGCTGATTTGTGAGAAGAATTCTTCAATGCTGGCTGGCTGGCTGGTTTTTATGACCGGTTTGCACCAGATGGTGAATATCAAAGTTTTAATGCTTTTAACCTACCACCTTTACTTAGCCATAGTGGGAGATGTTCTGGAGCACGAAAAATCAAATTCCTGGAGCAACAGCCAAAATAATTCGCTCTAAATCCCTAGAGTATTCTCACCTCCCAACTTATTCCTGTCTTCTCATTCTCCACAGTCTTCTACATAATCTAGTCCAACACATTTAGAATTAGCATCGGTAATAATAGGGAGTCAGCCAGCTTGTCTTGCTCCTGCATTCACTTAGAACGCCTCGTTGAGTTTTCCTGTTATGTCTCACTTAACACGTGTCGCTCTCATATGGCTGTTGAATGTGAGGTCGATAAACATTTGGGGCACTACACTCCATAGCGTTGAAGTGGTTTCCAAATTACTTCACAGTCAACGCTGTTGAAGGTCTTTTTAAAGTCATTAAAATTGAGGTATCGACTTGACTGCCATTCTATGCTTTGTTCGACGGTGATGATGATGCGTAGAGTTACAATTTGATCAACAAATGATTTTTCCATATGACAGAGAAGATTTGTAGCTCAGGTGGATGATTGTCATGTGGTTTTGTTCTCTGAGCTGGATGGTTAGTTTGCGAAGCTTTCATCGCCCTACTGGGTGACATCTTCAGTGCACACTTCAAATTGAAGTATGCGCTGAAGATGTCACCCTGTAGGGTGATGAAAGCTTCGCAAACTAACCATCCAGCTCAGAGAACAAAACCACATCAAAAAGCATCGAGCTTCAACAACCAATCATAACAGACTTAGCGTGGGCGGATGCGATTAGCTGGTATATATCTACTGACTGTCTAATAAACGGCAACAAAGAGATGACAGAATAACCTTCAGCAGGGAAACAACCAATCAGAAGACGTTGCTTCTCTTCTGACAATCACGCTAATAATAATGTACATAAAAATCTACAAATATCTGTTGATTTTTTCAATAAACGATCTGTTGTTTGGCCCTTGTTTTCTGTCATTACAGTCGCAGTTTTTTGTATTTTGCGGGATAGGGATGCTAGGCTCACACCCCCGTTGACATTCCCCCTCCCCCAACAGCGTTTCTTGGCTTACATTCAGCTAGTAAACGATGTGAGATTTCGAAGTGCGTTGTCTAGCGATGTAATCCTGACCTTCTATTTTTGCTGGTTAAGAGTCAGAGACCGTTTAGCTCGTTAATCATCGATTCAAATCAGACAGCTTAATTTCATATTTTTTTTTGATTGTGTCTTTATTTTTGTTTCTTCAGGTATTTGTATATTATATAAATTTATGGAAGAGAAATTATTATCTAACCGGTGAATCAACCAGTGAAAAGCATCTTTTATCTGCAGCCAGAGCACATAATCGTCGACAGCTTTTAAATAAAGCTTTATCTATTTGGGCGTTGAGAACACAGATATGGCGGAGGAAACGGGTGCTACGTGAAACTGCACTAGACTTCATGCATAACAGACTAAATAAAAATATGATCAATACAATATTTCAACAATGGTATCAACAGATTGTAGATATTGACACAGCAAAGAAGTATAACAGGTAAGCTTAATTTTGACTGTTGCGATAAAGTCTTACAATGGTGTTATACAGTGATGCTTACTGATAACCTTGTTTCGAGCACGATTTATTCCTGCTCATAATTATATCGAGACATTCATCACACAACTTTTTAACTTCGTTTGTATAATTCCATAATTATTTTGCATCGCTTGATTTGATTGGTAGCAGTATTTTCCATATTTCCGGTATGAGTGATGAGTGATTCCTATTGCATGTGTTGGGTATAGACTCGATGAACCAGGAAGGATTCAGTAATTAACCACTCTCTCCATCTACATATATTGTTTCAGAATTTTGAATTTGTTCCACCCACTCTATTGTGTGGTTGTGCGTTAATGGACGCAGTGGTATAGTTGAGTATCTTCTAAATTAATTTATCTTCGTGGGATCAGTCATTCTAACGTTAGCTAAATTCTTATGTTCTGACAGGCAGTCTGACTACTCCCGACCTACTTTTTTGATCTATGCAGTTGACCACACTCACAGTCATTGCGAAGTATTTTGTAAATTATATTATTTTGTCTAATTGGGTCAACCTACAGGGGGTCTTTAACCTACGGAGCTTGTCCTACCTGAGTGAGTTTGTAGGTTTGAATGCAACCACCCCAATTCCCGCTTTATTGAGAATCCTGCCTAGGGAGGGTCTCAGATGTCCCTTCCTTATATGGTAAAGCAGTAGATGACTTATATTCTCTATTATTTATGTTATCATTACTAGTTTTACAATCATTTTCATTTTGCTTTAGGCCTTTAATGATCTACCTAAAGAATTTTACATAATAGTTATTTAACACCAACCAGCCATTCTTCTATCTGTTTTATTTCATCATTTAGGTCTTTTCATGTACTACTTAGTGCCATTGCTCGGTTTGTTCGACAATTTACTAAGCCAGCCTTAGGTATGGTGTTAGATTGAGAAATAAAACGAATAGAAGAAGGTAAACTGCACATTAGCGTTTATAGAAAGCCAACTCATTCTTCTAATAGATATTTAGACTTTAATTCATCTCATCCGTTAACTGTTAAGGCTGGCTAAGTTAAGTGTCGAACAAACCGAGCAATGGCACTAAGTAGTACATGAAAAGACCTAAATGATGAAATAAAACAGATAGAAGAATGGCTGGTTGGTGTTAAATAACTATTATGTAAAATTCTTTAGGAAGATCATTAAAGGCCTAAAGCAAAATGAAAATGATTGTAAAACTAGTAATGATAACATAAATAATAGAGAATATAAGTCATCTACTGCTTTACCATATAAGGAAGGGACATCTGAGACCCTCCCTAGGCAGGATTCTCAATAAAGCGGGAATTGGGGTGGTGGCATTCAACCTACAAACTCACTCAGGTAGGACAACTCTGTAGGTTAAAGACCCCCTGTAGGTTGACCAATTAGACAAAATAATATAATTACAAAATACCTTGCAATGAGTGTGAGGGAGGCCGACTACCTATGTCAAACTAGTAGATCACGCGGGGTAGTCAGATTATCAGAACATAAGAATTCAGCTAAGGTAAGAATGACTGACCCCATCTGCGAAGATAACTAATTTAGGAAAAAGTTCAGCAATAGCACTGCATGCATGCACTAACACACAACCGCACAATAGGGTGGGATAGAGTTAAAATTCTAAAAAGTAATCTAGATAGGTGGAGAGAGAGAGGTTGATTACTGAATCCTTCCTGGTTCATCGAGTCTACACTCAACACATGCAATAGGAATGTCTCATCACTCATAGTGGATATATGGTAAATACTACTATCAGTCATCAAGTCAAGAGATGAAAAATAATAATGGAATCGTATAAGCGAAGTTAGAAAGATGTGTGAGTAGTGCCTTGATATGATTATGAGTGGCAGTAATAAATTGTCCTCGAAACGCGGTCATTAGTTAATATTAGTGTGTAGCAATATTGTGTAATTTATCAAAATTAATTTTACCCATAATGGAATTATACTTTACCACTACAGTGCACAAGTTTTATTCTTATATTAATTTTGACAGTGTTACAATACTTTGAAAAGTGAAAGCTGCTTCATAAAAGGCTGTATATAAAACAAAATCAAAACAGTATCATGAATAGACAAAGTTTAAATGCACCACCGGTCATAATGAATACTGGCCCAAGTGGTTGTGTAGTCGACGAACTATGTCTAATAGCCTAGGTGTCCAGGGTTCGATTCTTAGAGATAAGATCGTGGAAACGCACGGCTTACGAGTCTGAAAAAAAGCCAGCCATCTAGGTCTCATGTTTTTCGCATTGCGAAAACTCTCACGTTGCGTCTGAGATTTAAATTCATATTGTAAATCACGCAATATATACATTGGGTTATAGGAGTTATTAAGAAGAAAATTGCAGCGAAAAAAAATTTTCTTTTCGACGAAGTCATCATCTAGGCTGTACATTCGTGTATTTATATCAAATGGATGGGAAAGTTCCAGAATAATTTCCGGTCAAGGGTCAAATTAATAAAAATAAAAATTAGTAATTAGAATGCCTTAATAAACAGTTTATTTGCTCTTGTGGAGCTGAGTATATTGGCCGTACCATGCGCCAACTTGAAAAACTCGCTCATGAACACTACCCAGCCTGGTTAGTAAAAGGAGACCAAAAGCGTGTATACAGTTCAGTGACAGAACATCTGGTCAATTCAGGACATTCAGCGCCATTCAAAAAATCCTTCAAAATAATATACAAGATTCGATCAAACTTATCAAAGGGAATAAAATCAAGCCATCCGGGTACAGCCTAGGCACTAACTATCTCAAACCTCAAACCCACGCTTTGTATCCAAAAGAAATACATTCAACCCCTGTCCTTGCCATGGCCATCATAAACAGGTAATTTTTTAGTAATGACCATCCCATCGCCTTTCTTATTCAAACTTCCTGTTTATTCATGTTATTTTTAAGTTTCTCTTAATCCCTCCACTATTTACACTACCATATTTTCATATTGGAACTTCCTATCTATTTTGTTATTTTATTATTTTTACATATTTAATCCCTGATTGCATAAACAATTATTCGTTACATTAGTTATGATCCCACTAGATTTTTTATCCAAGCATCCTGTCTATCTATTTTGTTATTTCTACATTTCTAACCCCTAATTGCACAGTCAATGTCAATCTTCTCAGTAATTATGATGCTACTTTGTTTGAGTTTTATCCCTCCCTCTCCCCCATGTTTATTATGGCATTTTAATTCCTAATTGTAATTTTTATTAATTTGACCCTTGACCCGATATTATTCTGGAACTTTCCCATCCATTTGATATAAATACACAAATGTACGGCCTAGTTGATAGTGACTTCGACGAAAAGAAAATTTTCTTCGCTGCAATTGTCTTTTTATATAGATTTACAGATAAAAAATTTAACCAATGACGGTGATTTTGTGGGTCAAATAATAATAATAATAGTGATGTGGCAAATGTTTTGAATGTCATTAATAACAGTGATTATAATGATAATAAGGTTTATACAGTTGGCGATAAGAATAACAAAGGTAGTATACAATTGGTGGATGGTGGCTAGCAGTGGAATCCAGGATGCGCATTTCGTCCTATTTGGGACTCGTCAGCTGGATGTACCTGCATTTCTCAGTGAGTGATGATGTTCCCACTGAGGCTCGAACCCAGTACCCATAGTTTCAAACGCCAAAGCGTTATCCACTAGACTACTTGGGCCACGAGAGCCACCTCTTGTGCAACGGGTCATATTAATTATTGAATTGACGGGAAAATCAAAAATTCAATTCAATAAATAACAAAGGTAGTAAGTAATATGTGTATATCTATTGCCAAAATCATCGAAGCACCACATGCTCAAAACAGCAGAGACTATTGCAATACGTTCATCGACTTCGATAAAGGCTTCAACTGCGTTTATCACGAAGTAATGTGAAAAATACTTCAACACAATGTAGTGCAGTGCTCCAAATCTTTACCAACCTCATTCAACAGCCATATGAAAATGACACGTGTCAGGTGAGACACAAGAGGAAACTCAACGGAGCGTCTGAAGTGAATAAGTTGAAAAGGATGAGAAAACTCTAGAAGTTCTGGACTTCACGGATGATTTATGTCTAGTGTCACACAAACTCGAAGATCTACAGGTGAAAATCAACAAGATGACAGCAGAGGTGATGAAGATAACTAACCGACAACAAGAAGCATCAGTTAGCATCAATATGAGAAATGTAAAGGGAGTCGTCTTTTTCACTTATCTAGGCAACTGAGAATGTCAAATCCGGAACCAGAAAGGCAAGGTAGACACCTTCAACACTCTGAAATCAGTCAGTGTAGAAATCTGCTGCACTACTCAGCACAAAGAACAAGGGTTTAGATTTTCAACGCCAATGCTAAGTCAGTCAGTCAGTTCTTCTGTATGGATCAGAAACTTGTTCTACGAGTCACGAAAAGCATTTTCTAACATGCCACTGAAGACGTTTATCAGCAGCTGTCTTCTTTCCATGCCAAAGATGATGAGCTGGCTGATGGAAAGAAAATGAAAACACAAAACTCTGCCTGGGAACAAACCAACCAACCAACCAAGAACCTATTGCTCAACAAATATCCTGAATAAAGTGGAGATGGATCGAACACACGCTGAGAACACTGTCGGATGAAATGGCACACCCAGCCATCACTCGAGTGGAACTTAAATAGGGGGAACGACGCGTTTGGCGTCCAACGGTGGCTTGGGGAGATCATGTGGGCAGTTATGTGGTCAGTCAAAGAGGAATGTGAAGAACGGTGTGAAATGGAGATGTACTGCTGAAGTTCAAGTGTTCTTCTCGGAATCCAGAATGATAGTAATAATATCTTCACTACCAAGGGAAGGAGGCGGCTGTTAGTGAAATTCTGAAGTAGCCCCTTGGAAGTGTTCTCTGTGACTTGGTAAGTATCTGAACCGTATAAAAGCACTCATGTGAGTAATCAGAAGAAAAACATACCTGCTTTTACTTCTTAAATCAATGAGAAAAAGAAATATTTTTCTAATGCAAAACTATCATAAACCAAACGCAGGGATCTTGAACAACCAATCAAAACTCAGAAGAAAAAAGGTAGCATAATCTTTTACCTTCATCATGAGCTGACATTAGTTAGAGAACCATTGGAAAACCCGGGAGTACTGGACAACTGTTTCGTCCTGGTTTGGGGCTCTTCAGCAGTATGCACCCAACGGGATTTGAACTCAGGACCTTCTGGTTACAAGGCGAGCTCGTATGCAGTTAAGCCACTGGGACCCGATCCAATGACCAGCCCATGAATTCTATTTCCTGCCAATTCACGACATAGCGCGACTCCAACCAATGTCTTCGGAGAGTATTTGTCCTCACAACCGACCTGCTGCTGCACCCTACTGGTCACGACTTTTCACTGAAACCCAGGTAACTACCTACCTGAATAGGGCCAGTCGCTAGTGAACATCTCATTGATATTCAAGTGTTGGTTTGTAGGGATTTGATTGATTACGGGATTTTCATCATCATCTGACATTAGTTAGAGAACCTTTGGAAAACCACCTGGGAGTACTGGACAGCTGGGGTCGCCCTATATCGTGAATTGGCAGAAGTTAGAATTCGTGGACTGGTCATTGGATCGGGTCCCAGTGGCTTGATGGTCTACGAGCTTGCTAGCCTTGTAACCAGAAGGTCCTGGATTCGAATCCCGGTGGGTGCGTACTGATGAAGAGTCGCTGACTAGGCTGACGAAACAGCTGTCCAGTACTCCCTGGTGGTTCTCAATGGTTCTCTAACTAATGTTAGGTCATGATGGAAATCCTGTAACCAATCAAATTCCTACAAACCAACACTTGAGGCAGCATAGTCGTTGAAAGATACACTAAAATATATTGCAAACTTTATAATAACATTGTGCAGTTGTAGCTCGTGTGTTGTAAGAAAGTCTCCCAGTCAATACACAGATGATCTGTGCGGAAATTGTACCGTGTGAGATATGCCTATTTATCCGGGCGATATTAGGTCATGGTGTGGTGAGAGCTGACTGCAAGCCAAAACTGTAGACAACAATTTACGTCAATATATACGTCCCCAATCGGAGTCATAAGAAAAAAAACACTATAAAAAAGCTTAACATCGAGGAACTCACCAACCAATCACAGTAGACTTAGCGTGGGCAAATATGATTCGCAGTTATATAGCTTAACCATCCTAGAAACGGCCACAAGCAGTACAAAATGACCTTGAGCAAGAAAACAGCCAATCAGAAGACTTTGTTTGTCTGCTAACAATAGCGCCAATAATAATGTGCATAAAATCGATAAATATCTATTGATTTTCTCAATAAACGATCTGTCTGGCCTGGTCCTTGTCTTCTGTCGTTACAACAGTACTTTGAGATCTATTGATATTTCTGGTGTAACAACAGAAGACAAGGGCCAGGCAACAGATCGTTTTATTATGAAAATCAACACGTATTTATACATATTTCAGACAACATTATTATAGACAAGCGCAGTCATCTGATTGGTTGTTTAGGTAGACAAACGCAGGCTTCTGATTGGTTGTTTCGGGATTCCTTGACAAACAGAGTTCTCTATCTGCGAATCATATTTTGCCACGTTAACTTCGCTGTGATTGGTTGTTGACTCAGCCTTGTTCACGGCCCATATTAGTGACCTAGACCTTAACGTAGATTAGTGCCAACCAATCGGCTAGCAGCCTGCTCTCACCACACTCGTCCCCCCGTCAAATACGTGCGACTGAAGTCGGCTTGATCTACTTGGTGCAGGCGTCATCGTTGGCTTGTCTCGCTGTATCCATTTCTGGAGCTCGCTGACGTTCACGCGCCTCTCATTGTTCGCCATTGCGACTGTGTCTGCGTAACCCCATCTCGAAGTGACCATATATGGTCCTTCCCACTTTGGAAACTGTTTGCCTGACCCTGTCGAACATTCGTCCATACTTCGGCCCACACCTTCATATGCTGCTTTCGCCCGACCTCCTAGCAGCGTCTCAAGTAGCAGCTCCATCGCTGACAGATCTTGAACGCCACTCAACTGCGCAGAAGCCTTGAAGTCCTGCCCGAAGATCCATATGTCTCCATCAAAAACTGCAGGGTATAGGCTTTTCATTTGTCGGTAGGCAGCGACACCAAATGTAACAACAGAAGACAAGGGCCAGGCAACAGATCGTTTTATTATGAAAATCAACACGTATTTATACATATTTCAGACAACATTATTATAGACAAGCGCAGTCATCTGATTGGTTGTTTAGGTAGACAAACGCAGGCTTCTGATTGGTTGTTTCGGGATTCCTTGACAAACAGAGTTCTCTATCTGCGAATCATATTTTGCCACGTTAACTTCGCTGTGATTGGTTGTTGACTCAGCCTTGTTCACGGCCCATATTAGTGACCTAGACCTTAACGTAGATTAGTGCCAACCAATCGGCTAGCAGCCTGCTCTCACCACACTGGCACTATTGTTTAGGCTACTGCTAATTCTAACCATAATCCTAACAACTGATCCTAAAATCAAGCCTAATCCTGACCTTAAGTCTAACCCCCAAACTTTAATCTTAAAAGCCATAAACCCACCCAACAGTATAGATTTACCTAGTAAATAAGCAGATTACTGGTTGACCTGACTTGATTTGGGATGATATTTCATAGCATTCCTTGTGTCTAATCAGTTCTTGCCGGTCAACCTTTGAAAAGATATTGACTTTAGCTATAATACTTTAACTTCGCCTTTCTTAATAAGCTTTATTCTCTTTCCTTTTAGGTATAGAATTTTGAAATCATGTTTAAAAATCTGGTCAACTCTAAGTGAACTAAGTATTGCCGATCGTCGAATGCAATGTAGTGCACACAATCTACATGTACGATCAATACGTCAACGATATTTCACCTTATGGATTAATTATACAGTGACAAAGAGGCTGATAAGAAAGTCAACAGAAATAGCAATTAAGCATTACAAAATGAATCAAATGAAAAAGTGTTTTCATGGCTGGATATTGTACCATTGCCAAATTGTTGATCGTCAGAATATAGTCGAGTGCATTGTTGTAAGTTGAATCGTTTCATATTATTGTTATTATTACTCTTACTCTTGTGCGTCGGTAGCACAGCGGTAGAGCGCTCGCTGACGACCACGCCTCATGTGGTCCAGGGTTCGATCCCCGGCCACCGATGCACTCCTCAATTACCTCGCTAAGCCATTAAATAAGACTAGTAAAGAGGGAAGGTTGGGTGGAGGGCATGAGGCCAGCAGCAACCCCATCCTGTAAAAATGATCACCACTGCTGCTAACGAAAATTCAAGCCTCTAGCTTGAAGCCGTATGTTCCACTGAGAACCTAAAGGAATAAAAAATAATTACTCTTAGTTTTGGTAACGGTTAACTGTAAAATATTAAGTGTTGGTGTTGATATAAGTTTGCAAATAACATTTTTGATGACTTTCTCCATTGAAACTTCGAATGCCAGTAATCGTTGGCTCACAAATTTGACGACACTATGTTTTCATTCCTAGCTGTTGAATTGCAAGAATCATCCTTTGTGAAGAAACTTGCCTCACTTACTCTCGCACAGTATTAATCCTTGTTCCCTCTTTGGAGCTTATGTCTTCTCGGATATATAACTGTGCTGTTCTATATATTTTACTAACTTTTCAATCTAAACTATGGATAACGCCGGATACCACTTCTCCAATAATAGAGAATGTAAGGAATCTACAGTTATACCATATGAGGAGGGGACATCTGAGACCCTCCTTATATAGGATTTTGAATAAAGCATGAATTAGGGTGGTGGCGTTCAAACCTACAAACTCACTCAGCCAGGACAAGCTCTGTATTTTACAGGAAACTATAGGTTGACCCAAACAGACAAAATATAATTTACAAAATACCCTGCCCTGCAATGACTGTGAGGTCAACTACATAGGTCGAACTAGTAGGTCAGGGGTAGTCAGATTATCAGAACATAAGAATTTAGCTAAGTTAAGAATGGTTGACCCTATCACAGAAGATAAGTAATTTAGAAAAAAACTCAGCACTGCATCGCACTTCATGCATTAACACACAACCACACAATAGGGTGGGAGAGGGTTAAAATTCTAAGAAGTAATCTAGGTAGGTGGAGAGAGAGGTTGGTTACTGAATCCTGGATCATCGAGTCTACACCCAACATGTGCAGCAGGAATGACTCATCAGTCATACCAGAAATACGGAAAACACTACTACCAATCATCAAGTCAAACGGTGAAAAAAAAATGGAATGATATAAAGGAAGTTAGGAAGTTGTGTGAGTAGTGTCTTGATATGATTATGCGTAAGAATAATTGGTGTTCGAAACGTGGTCATCGGTAAATATCACTGTATAACACCACCATGAGACTTTCTCAAAATAAATTTTACCCATAATGGAATTATACTCTACCACCACCACCACCACAGTGCACAAGTTGTATTCTTATATCAATGATACTTCTCCAATTTACCCTAGCTCCCTCCCCCCATTGCCTTGTTAGTCCGTTAGGCTGCATACATTTATTCTTCTTTGTGAATTGAAATAAAGCAAAAAAGAATAATGTTCGTGTAGAATAAGATGAGGCCATCATTTGTTTCGTGGCATCCTCTTCAGCAGCATGCAGTCCGCAAGTTAATTATGAATATGTGTACAGAGAAATTTTAACATGCCTCTAGGAGTTAGATGACTTTTGGTTAACACAGACATAGAATTAATAAACAAGGATCTGTGAATTCACACTTACATAACTAAACTACAAAATTAACGATCGGGTACATTGAAAATTGAATTGCATAATAAAGACAAGAAAAAAATGAGAATATGATAATACGTAACCAATCAGTTGCATAATAGTGTGTTGTGAGTTCAGTTCAAGTCATAGAAACAATCAAGGAACAGACACACTGCTAATTAACCTTGTCCATATAAAAGATCAAATCCCTAAAGATTCTCTATCTCATTGTGTATATAAAAATAAAGTGTTTGAAATGTGATGCTGTATACATCAGACAAACATCGCCAGAGAGGAATCAAAATCAGAAGAAGTGAACACCGTATAGCCGTCTCTGTTCGACCATCGAGAAATCCAGTTGAACTAGAAAAGCTTGGAATATCATCAACCAGTCATAGGTTGTCTACAAGCTATAGAATCAGGCCACAAAATTGATTTTGACAATATTGAAATCATCATTCAGAAAAAGCATTTCAGAAATCACAAAGAACATCTAATATCATCAGAAGCACTTCATATCATGTGGAATCCGAATTGTCTGAATAGGAATGATGGACTAAAACAGATTTTGGTCTGGTTACAACACCCCCGCCAAAACCCCTATGAAGTGACAAAATCACAACACGAATGTGATAAGCGATTTTATTATGTAAACACATGCTGCTTTTATAATTTTATACACTTATCTAACCCAACAGTCAACACCTCACTTTGTTATCTTTACCAATTGGTCAACTTGACAACGTAAACAGGATTACCACATGCAGAGGATTGATGATTAAGTTGTTATATATAAGCTGAGTGATTTTGTAAATTCTGGTTTAACAATACTACTTTGATAAAGCTATTAGCAGCAACATTAATTAGCGAAACGTCAGTAAAAACGAAAACAAGAGTATCGTTTTGTTTGTCATTCATTTCGAAATACAAAAAATCCTCTATTATAATGATCATAAATTACAGGTTTATAACGTTTCATAGATATTGCTTTGGCGAATCCGAAAAGACTTGAAGATGAGGCAATGTATATTAGGAGGGGAAACAAATGAAGACGGATGATGTCGGATTGATGTCAGTTAGAGAACCATTGAAAACTACCATGAAGTATTTGACAGTTGTTTCATCGTGGTTTGTGACTCTTCAGCAGGACACATCCATGATCTCACCGGAAGTCAGTCGAATGCAGAACCTTCAGGTGATAGGGTTAAGCTCGTTAACCACTCTAGCCGAAATCCAATGACCAGCCTGACCCTGTGTCAGCTAATATTGCCCGTCAGTCAAGGAAGGCGATGGCTAGTCGAGACATACATAACACATGTCTTAACTATCTCAATCTGTATAACTTTATAGCCCCGTTGACTGATTTCTCCTCCCACCTGCCTACTTAGCACTCGATCGCTGCCTAACTTCAATATTGCTCACCATATTATGCCATTTCACATGGGATATAGAACGCAGGTACCTACGATCGATGACAGCTAGCTAGCCTTTTCATGTCATCCTCTCTGAAAGGCTAGGTGTCACAGTCGTAAAAGAGGATGAAGAGGACTGCTGAACAGTACACACTTCCTTTGGTCGACAGCCAACTGGATATTACGTCTACTTTGGAGATGGCGTAAACTGGCATATGCGAAACTAGCCCTCTGTATCCGTTCTGAGATTTCTTCAGCGATCAATCCGCTGGCGTTGACTGATAAGTGAAGTGGTCAACGTGCTCTACCGCTTTACTCCCTATTTCTGAGCTAGGATTCAATGTAGTTCAATTGGTAGAAGTTAGAATTCATGGACTGGCCATGAATAGGGTTCCATTGTTTGAATAGCATATGAGCTTACCTTGTAATCGAGAAGTCACGGACTCGAACCCGAGTGGTGTGTACTACCGTTGAGTTTCTAACTGATATCAATCCGTGGTCAAACTCGTAAAAACCAATATAATTTAACACCGAACAACTGTCCAATGAGTGATTTCTAGTTTCCAACACCTACTCTTGACGTAACCAAACCCGACTAATCACTTTAATTAAAATGTTTAAGAAACCTGACACATCAGGTTACATAACCCAATGTGCGAATGATGATATCACCCTGGCTGCATGACCTAAGTTCGATCACGAGATGACATCATCAGTTAGAGAACCATTGAAAAACCACCAGAGAGTACTAGACAGCTGTTTCATCCTAGTTTGAGAGGCCCAAGACCTTCCGATTGCAAGGCGACAATGTGGCCACTATGATCCGAACCACAAATTATGTCTTAATTTGCCAAATACTGTAGTTTTTTTTTCGTATTTTTAACCGGATGACGTAATCTTCTGAGGTATACTGATCACTTTTGAGTTACCATAATAATAATAATACTGATAATTTTTTTTATTTTGAATGTCTTTTATTTTAAGATGAAGCGACAACACTGCCTACTTGAACAATGTTTAATGAAATGGAAAGATTTTACTACAACGAAACGCCTATTACTACTGAAATCCTCTGAGTATATAAGTAGTCAAAATAATAAACTGTTGAAGGAGTTTTTTCATCGTTGGGTGAATAACCTTCATGATAAAAAATCACAAGAAATTACTATCAATAATTTTCACAGATTGAAAACTGTACAATACTTAGAAAAGGTGAGTCATGACTGTACATATACCCACCAGCCCCTGCCCCTCCATTCTTTCTTTCGTCCTCTCTCTCTTTAACCCAGTTTTACAGACTCTTTTAATCTATCAGAAAGGTGTGCTCTATGTTTACCGTTTCTATGGTAATGTTTGTAAAAGGGGATATATAAAATCGCTGTTCTTTTTTCTTCTATTTGACACTCATTATTATTGTGACTGGCTATTTTTATAATGAGCGTCCTGAACCAAATAATGATCGCGTCAAATTTTTAAACCTCTTTTTAAACAAGTTAGTGAATCGACATGTTGATGATACATTTGTAGTGTGCAACAATGAAATTCTTGCTTCACACTTACTCAGATTATTCAATGATGCACACACCAATATTGAGTTTACTATGGAACAAGAAAGTGACCGAAAGTTTCACTTCTTCGACATTGCCATGCAACGCTTAGAGGTTAGTAGTCTTTCGAAGTCAATTTATTTAAAGCCTACTTAGAAAGGGCAATACTTACATTTTAATAGCTTTAAACGTGGACTAGTCAAGACTCTGTACTATAGAGTGAAGAGAATATGCTTTATAGAGAAATTAGGGGAAGAATTTGAGTTTCTTGAAAAGATATTGAAGGGCAATGGTTACCCTCAAAGGTTCATTAACAAGTATGGAAGATCTGAAGTCACAAATGTAAAACAAATCACAGTGGGTTACACAGCCAATCTACATTCAGCTTGATTATAAAGGTGAAAACATTGCAGCAATGGTCAACAGAAGACGGAGTACGTCACTAGCCACAGCCTATCCTGCAGCTGGCTAAGCTCGTCTGCGTCTGTCGAACAATTTGCTCTTTGGATCAATCAAAAATCGATAGATATCATTCTCATGTTAACTCCAACTGTATATAAAAATTTACGTGTATCTGCGGGAGAAGTTATATTGGAAGGACAGAAAGAAGAAGGACATATCTACGATTTTCTGAACATGTACCAAAAAGCTTACATCTAAAGGGAACAAACGCTTTAAACAGTGCCATCGCCAGGCATCTCCTTGACACAGGTCGTGAGCTGAACGTCGTAGGATCATTCAAAATTATCAATTGGCAAAAGAGCTCAGTCCTCGTCAAGTTTGCTGAAACCATTTCCATCAAGTGCCTGAAATTCTATTTATGTGTCCAGAAAGAAGCAGTTATCAGTCTTTCCTTGCCCTGTCTGGTAATTGGATATTTTCATCTCTCTTTCATATGAATATTTAATGCTGAAAAGTTCCCATTGTGTATGATTATTACTGTTCAGAATAGTGTTTAATATTACATATACATATATATGTATATATCATTACTGTGTGCATATATTGACCGATTGATTTTTAGATATGTATAAATCTCCATTTCACGGAATAGCAAAGTGGTTAGTCAAGATTCTGGAACCTTTGTACAAATAAATACTAAATATCAGACAGATTAGGAAGGATCATAATTTGAATTCATTAAATTTATAGTCTCCACCGAAGGCCAGGGCTTCTTCTGCATGCAGAGCCCCGGCTGTTTTAGGGCGCTGCTGTATGGGGTTTGTGGTACCTGGATGTTTTCAGTGATTTATTTGGTACCCGATAGATGATGGAGAAGGACTCTTCAATATTAGTAATTCCATATTAGTTTGATTATTAAATGTATCACACAGTGAAACAGTATTGTATACTGGATGACGTTTCGAACACAATTTATCGTTCATAATCATATCAATTTTTGTCACACGATTTCGAGATTTGATTTTTATAGTTTTCTCTGTCTTCTCTATTTGTTTTATGGGCAGTAGAATTTTCCATATATCTGGGACAGGTGTTGAATCATTCCTATTACATGTATTTGCAGTTGATTCGATAAACAAAGCTTCTGTTATCAATCTCTCCCTATGTGGTGAGAGCAGGCCGTGAGAAAATATGAACAAGACTGATTCAACAACCAATCACAGCAAAGTTAACGTGGCAAAATATGATTCGCAGATAGAGAACTCTATTTGTCAAGGAATCCCGAAACAACCAATCAGAAGCCTGCGTTTGTCTGCCTAACTTCTGATAAACAACCAATCAGATGACTGCGCTTGTCTATAATAATATATGTGAAACATGTATAAATACGTGTTGATTTTCATAATAAAACGATCTGTTGCCTGGCCCTTGTCTTCTGTTGTTACACCTATACCCTGTGACATTAGATTTTAAAACTGTCATCCTATCCCATCCTATTGTATGGTTGTGTGTAACTACATGTAGTGCTATAGCTGAACTACTCTCTAGATTTCTTATCTTATTCGGGTCAACCAATCTAGATTTAGCTAGGTTTTTATGTTCGGCTAGTCTGACTGCCCCTGTTCTACTAGTTTGACCTATGTATTTGACCTCACAATCATTGCAGGGTACTAGATAAACTAAATTGTTTTGTCTTAATGGCTCCACAGGATCCACCATTTAACCGACAAAGCTTGTTTCTAATTGAGTTTGTGGGTTTGAATGCCACTTTTATTCCTGCCTTGTTAAGAATTCTGCGTAAGGCTTCCGAGGTTCCTTCTTTGTATGGAATTATTGTTGATGATTTACATTCCTTATTGTTGGTGTCGTTATTAATATTATTATTATTATCACTATCTCTGTTATCATTATTTATTTTATTTTTACATTTACTTACATATTTCTTGACTAATTTATCCGGGTAATTATTAAGTTTCAAGGCTTCTTTTACGTGTGTCACTTCCTGTCTTAGATTTTCCTTGGTACTACTTAGTTTTTGTGCTCTGTCATTCTACTGCCCATACAACAAATAGGAGAAGACAGAGAAAACTATAAAAATCAAATCTCGAAGTCGTGTGACAAAAATTGATATGATTATGAACAATAAATTGTGTTCGAAACGTCATCCAGTATACAATACTGTTTCACTGTGTGATACATTTAATAATCAAACTAATATGGAATTACTTAATACCACAGTGCCCAAGCTTTACACATATATCTTCAATATTAGCTTTGTGGCGGTAGCTTTGGACCAGATGTTCTAAACATCGAGCTATTGAAGCTTCTCACTACACCCAAACTTAACTACTCTGGTGGGTGTTCCCAAGAGAGCACGAAAAATCAAGTTCTCAAAGCAAGAGTCAATATAACTCGCTCCATCACAAGTGCAGCTGAATTGGTTAGATACAATTAAAAGTGTCTACCTAGTCTAGGTACTTTCAATTGCAGAATCACCTTCGGTCATATATAAGATAAGACTTGTGGTTTTGCCAAGACTAAAAGTTCTATTAACTGATTTTCTTAACTTCATCGTAATCATTTAGCTAGGTATATCGCGCTTGAATTGCTGTTGCATATATAAAGGCTGCTTGTTTACGGATAGTCAATAGTCTATTTCAACCATCTTAGACATATGTTTCCTGATGGACTTTTCTGGATAGCTATTTTTGATTCAGGTATCATATAAAATCCTTTGTCCATAATCAGTTATCTCTTCTGAGCATATAGCTCTAACCTTGTAGGTGAGAGTCCTAAATGAATTTCTTATGAACTTGAGGGGAACGAAGCTATGAAGCATATTGTCTCCTGTTCATGTACTTTTTCTTTGCAAATTTTTTATGCTACCATCTGGTTTTCTTGTAGAGCATATATCTTGGAAGGCAGTTAGTTCTATTTTAGGATTCGTCTTTGCTTGTGTACTTCATTCCAGAATGTACTTTGTTTAAACATTCATGTTGTTAATAACACTAATTCATTCATTCACTACTATATATGTGGTGAGAGCAGGCTAGCCAAAAATGGTAGACAGCATTTTATGTCAGTGGGTATATCGCAAATATTGGTGATGAGAAAATATGAACAAGACTGATTCAACAACTAATCACAGCAGAATTGGCGTTTAGATGACCTGACATTAAAAAAAAACAGTCACGAAGAGATGCAAAGTCAACTCTCTGTAAGGAAACAACCAATCAGAAGGTTGTGTTTGTCTGCTTAAATAAGCTATAATAATGTACATGAAATATATATATAAATACGTGTTGATTTCCTTACTAAACAATCTGTTGCCTGACTCTTGTCTTTTATCGTTACATATATGCCTTTGTTCACTAATCCGTCTTTTGAAATTTATAATAAGCATTTTTAACCAATTTAAAAAAATTAGATCACCACTATTTGTTTTATATTTTGATTAAATATCTTTCCTTTAAAAGGTTTTCACCTCATGGTTCAAATGGTCGCGTATTCATCGAAAGCATCGTGTACAAACACAAGCTCTTGTTAATCAAGGCGTACAGTCTCTACGTATTCCCCTAACTCAGGTGTATTATAACCATTGGAAATCTGTATATAAATACTACCTAAACCATCGGCTGGCACAAAGATTTCATTCTCTGCATCTACTTGTCCAGTGTTTCAATGGTTGGTTGGCATATTCCAGATGGAGAAAAAAGAAACTTAAGCTGAAATATGATGCACACTGTTTCAGCAATCAAAGAATACAGGTAACTTCCTTCCTTCCTTCAATTGTGTTATTTTATTTTTCGTTTCGTTGGTAAATACTTTAAAAAAGATCAATATTGGATGGCTTGAATTGATTCACCTCTCTGAGCTGAGTCGAACCGGGCACACTGCAGACGAGTTCAACTCCAAATAGGCGAAACGGCCGTCCAGTGAGTGATACTGGTTGATGTGAACGCTGTGCAAGTACTTACTTCAGTCAATCAGTAGTAACATGGTTTGATCCATTTACGTTTAGCTTTGTTGTTTATGATTAATATTCTTGTTGTTCCCTTGGGTTCCCAGTGGAACATAGGGCTTCAACTGCACGTCTCCACTTGCTTCTGTCTTCTGTAATGCTGTACTTTTCACCTGCATCCATGTTGGTCCATACTGTTTCAACTCCTCTTCACACGATCTCCTCCACGTCACCCTTGCACTGACGTCCCACTCGCCGCTTCCCTTTCGGGTTCCACTCGAGCAATGGCCTGATGTGCGCGCGATGTCACCCGGCGGCGGCCTCCTCAACCACGAGTGTCCATTCCATCTCAACCCACTTCCTCCTGCATATTTGTTGGTTGGCGAATGGTTCTTGTTTTGTTTGTTTGTTTGTTCCCATAGTTTCTTGTTGGTGATTCTTCCCTACCCGGCCATCTGATCTTCAGTATAGAGCGAAGATAGTTGTTGATAAGGTTCTGTTGGAACCTGTTGGAAATATTCTTTGTGACCCACCCGCCAAGTTTCTGATCCGTATAGAAGAACTGACTGACTTGACGTTGTTTGTATTGAAAATCCGACTGAATTTTGTTGTTGATGCTGAGTTGAGTGACGAAGATTTCCAGATTGGTTTCAGTTGGTTGATGAATGTGTTTCTCGCTCGCCTTCCGATTCTCGATCGATTTGACATCCTCATCTGTTCGGACTTCCTGTAGTTAAGACAATGCCCCCTAGATAAGTGAATGAATGAAGTAACCTCTTTCATATCCTTCGCGTTGATGGTGATTGGCGCTGGATGTTTCTGTTGTTGTTGTTGTTGGTTATTTTCAAAATCTCCGTCTTGTCTATGTTCACCTGGAGTCCTGTCTTCGCCGGCTGCTTCTTCGACCAGTTTGTCAGTTTTCGCTTGTAAGTCTTCGATTTTGTGACAGTGACATCAAACATAAATCATCCAAGCGCGAAATCCAGGTCTTCTAGGTTCTTCACGTCGGTCGGCCCAGGATATCCCTGTCTTCTCGTTTCCCACTCACTGTCTGACGCATAATCCAGTCAGTCCACCACAATTAGGAATATCATTGGTGATAGTAAGCACCCTTGTTTGACTCATGTGTTTACTCCAAAAGCCTCGCTGAGTTTTCCGTTGTGGATGACTTGAGATGTGCCGTTGTCGTACAGCTGTTGAATAAGGTTGATGAATATTTGGGGTACGCCGTAGTACTCAAGTAGTTTCTGAATTACTTCACGGTCAACGCTGTCAAAGGCTTTCTCGAAGTCTATAAAGCTGAGGTGGAGGTTTGATTGCCATTCCATGCTTTGTTCTGTGATGATGATGCGTAGAGTTGATTACCAACAACAATTAATTTGCAGAAATTAGAATTCACGGGTCATTGGATCACCTCCCAGTGGCTTGATGGTCGACGAACTCACTGACCTTGTAACCAGAATGTCTTCGGTTCGAACCCTGGCGGTGGGTGCGTACTGATGGAGACTCCCGAACTAGGTTGACGAAACAGTTGTACAGTACTTACTACATTTTTTTCAAATGGTTCTCTAACTGATGTCAGCTCATGATGAAACCCTTCAACTAATTTGCAAACTTTGAATTGGATTTCTCTGCGCCCTAATATTATCTAACATGTTTAATCTTAATGAATGTTTCTTCTGATTTATCAATTATTGTTTAGTCATACTTTGTAAATAACTACTTACATTCTACGTGTGAACAGTCCCATCATCTAGCTAGCTAGCAAAGAATTTCACTGGTTTAATCCATTTTTTGTCGTCTAAACTGAGTCAATTCTTGTTCATTGACGATGAAGAGCTCAATACTCATTGAACGACACTGCTTTTTGATGCCAAGATTATCGCGATTAGGGGTGGGGGTGAAGCTTACTCTACTCGTAGACTTATGTCGTCTCTAGCTGCTTCAATTGATTTACTAATTCAGATATATCACAAGACGAAAGAAAATCACGTCGAATTCGCAATTCACAAATTAATTTGCAATAGAGAGATGATGGAGAAGATTTGTAGCTCGGCTGAATGATTTTGATGTGGTTGTGTTCTCTGAGCTAGCTGGATAGTTAGTTAATTTGCGAAGCCCTACTAGGCGACATCTTCAGCGCATATACTCCAATTTGAAGTGAGCTTTTAGATTTTTCCAGGAGTTTATTAGCCATCTTTCCAGGTGGGTGACCTTGAACGTAATTGTTTGGTTTTGTGTGTTTTCACACCTTCTAGGTTACTTTTATTGGAAGTGATTGTTTCCTTGACTCGGACTATGAACCTTTGTGTGTGAAATTTCTTTCTTATCGGTTGGTAAATTTTGTCTTTCTCTATGTATCTGTAGATTGATGATTCCCTTGAATACCAGGCTTCTAAAAAAACTTCTCTGGCTGGCATACTTCGTGTTTCCTCTGTCTAATATTTGAACGTTGTACCAGTCAAATTGATGTTCGCGGTCGTCTGCATGCAGAGATATGAGGTAGGGAGTGGATGTCATGTCTTTTGACGGCTAGCTTATGTTCATGGATACGAAGACAAAGGGGAAGCCCACTTTCGCCAATGTAGTGTTTTCACAGTCGTTGCAACTCATTCTGTAGATGATGTTGGTTTCATCTTCTTTCGTTGTTGAGTCTTGTGGTTGGTGAGAGCACTCCCACCTTAAGGAAAATTGAAGAAAGATATCTCATGGACATGACTTCCCATAGAATGGATATCCACGGAATTTCATCAAAAAACATTTACCCCAAGCCGCCAACCTATCAAATCAAAGGCCTACAAGGAAAGCACAAAGAAAATTGTCCTACCATATATAAAGGATATCTCACAAATCACTGTAACTCTTCGAACCTTTAGGAATCGACGTCGCACACAAACCGACAAAATCACTTCACTCAGCTGGTGGCTCTGTGTCAACCAAAATACTCAACAGTGAACGAAAGAAGATAAAACCAACGTCATCTACAAAATAAACTGTAACAACTGCAAAAGAATACACTGCAATAGATTTTTAAACATTTCGAAGAGGTGAAATTTCATTTTAGTTTCCGTTTGTGAGGACTAAAAGTCATTCAGATCACGGGATATATGATCTGCGTGATACCATAAATGGTAATCAAGGAAGTAAGCGTATTTGTATAGAACCGTATGCTTTTTTGCCTTCACGTTCCCCAGTGGAACATAGGGCTCCAAGCTATTGGCTTAAAGTTTCTGTAGCAGGAGTGTTTATTTTTACAGAATGGGGTTGCTAGCCTCATGCCTAACCTTTCCTCTTTACCAGAATTATTTCTAGCTTAGCGAGGTAAAGGAGTGCGTCGGCCGGGGATCTACTACTGTACTACTGATTAATTGAAATGAGTAGTTGTGCGCTATTCACATCAACCAATAATCCTTGCTCCAACCAAGAACCGATTGCTCAACAATTGTGTAGGAGAAAGTGGAGACAGATTGATCGGGCATACATTGAGGAAGCCGCCGAATGACATCGCGTGCAATGCAGGTCATTGCTCAAGTGGAATCCCAATGGGAAGGGACGAGTTGGTCCTCCTAAGGTGACATGGAAGAGATCGTGTGAGGAAGATATGAGAGAGTTCGGTTAATCGTAGACCCAGCTGAAGAGGATGGCAGAAAATAGAAGAAAGTGGAGATGTATTGTTGAAGCCCTATTTTCCACTCGGAACTCAAGGGAATAATAATAGTAATCCTTGCTAACTAGATCACCTGTTGACCATTTAGGCGCCGAACTTATCGGTGGTGTATCCGATTTGACTCGGCTTAAAGGGTGAAATCATTTCAGATTTCCCATTTTAGCCTCTTCTTGCTTCAGAGATTTTATTTATTTTTTATATTTTTTTTATTTCAGCTTGATTCTACACTGTATTTTTGGTACAAGTATGGAATTTTCAGCATAGATAGCATGGTAGACCAAATTTTCCAGGCCGACCATAGATATCATGTGTGCTTAGGGGCAGGGGATCGAACCTCGGACCATGTGCATGATCGGCGAGAGTCCCAGCCGCCGGGCCACCGACGCACACATATATATCAGCATGCAAAAATCTTCAAGTCGATTTATTACTTTCTTCTAAAGTCACAGAATGACTTTGTATATACGATTACCATCTGATCCCATGAATAGAATCCATTCGATAATAATTCCCAGATGTTTTCATTTTGAAATATATATCGTCATTACTGTTGATGAAGTTTAGTTTGGAGCGGCAAGCAAGGTCGGTTGTATTGTGAAGATAAAAAGACCTATGAGGCTAGAGGGTAATGTTAATTACGAAAAACACATTTTTGGTACATAAATGTGTTAAGTCTTTATTTGTATGGTGGGAGCTGTCTGCAAGCCAAAATTCTAAACAAAAGTTTATGCCTATGTTTACTTCCTAAATTGGAGTCATGAGAAAAACAATAACAAAGCCTAACCTTGAGTAACTCAACAACCAATCGCAGTAGACTAAGCGTGGGTGGATACGATTTGCAGATGTGTGATATGACCTTCAAAGCGATGGCCACAATGAGATGTCAGATTAACCTTCAGCGAGAAAAAACCAATCAGAATTCACTGTTTCTTTGCTAATAATAACGAATAGTAATATGCATAAAAATATATAAGTACCTCTTGTTTTCCATTATGTCTAACAAACCGAGCAGTGGCACTAAGTAGCACAAAAAAAGATCTAAATGATGAATTAAAACAGATAGAAAAAGCGTTGGTGTTGAACAACTATCCTATAAAATTCATTAGGAAGATCATTAAAGGCCAAAAACAAAATAAAAATAATTGTGAAACTAGTAATAATAACATAAATAAGAGAGAATATAAGTCATCCACAGTTATACCATATAAAGAGGGGCATCTGAGACACTACGTAGGATTCTGAATAAAATAGGGATTAGGGTGGCATTTAAACCTACAAACTCACTCAGGGACAAGCTCTGTAGGTTAAAGGACCCAGTTGACCCAATTAAACAAAATAATATAATTTACAAAATACCCTGCAATGACTGTGAGGTCAACTAAATAGGTCATACTAGTAGTTCCGGGGTAGTCAGATTGTCAGAGCATAAGAATTTAGCCAAGGTAAGAATGGCTGATCCTGAAAAGATAAGTAATTTAGAAAAAAGCTCAGCAATTGCAATGCATGCATTAACACACAATAGGGTGTAAGAGGGTTAAAATTCTAAAAAGTAATCTAGATAGGTGAAGAGAGAGGTTGATTACTGAATCCTTGTTCATCGAGTCTACACCAAACACATGCAATAGGAATGATTCATCACTCATACCTGAAATATGGAAAATACTACTGCCAATCAAATCAAGTGAAAAATAATGGAACTATATAAATGAAGTTAGGAAGTCGTGTGAGTAGTGCCTTGATATGATTATGAGCAATAAATTGTGCTCGAAACGTCATCAGTAAACATTACTGTATAACAACACTGTGAGACTTTATCAAAACAAAATTTACCCATAAGGGAGTTACACTCTACCACAGTGCACAAGTTTTATTCTTATATCAATGATACCTCTTGTTTTCCCAATAAACGATCTGTTGCCTGACCCTTGTCTTCTATCGTTATATATACATATATTCATTTCATATCTTCTTTTTATTTGACCTAGAAACACGTCTTAAATCATTGGCGTTTAAAATTAATTGAGAAAAAGAATACACAAACTTTGGAATCCATTGCTTTGCTTCGTTGGTCATTATGCTTACAAGCACGTGTATGGAAAGCTTGGCGTCTATGGATTGAATGGAGGCATGAAAAAGCGCAGAGACGTAAACTTGCTGCACAACGATTTATTGACCGTCAAACTGTTGACGCTTTACGTATGTGGATTTCAATTGCACTGAATAAACGTCATAAAAGGCATATGGAATATTGTTCAAAATTTTGGGTATGTTAACATAAAGAGACTCTTTTCAACAACGAATTTATCATCAAGCTGTGCAATCGTATATATATGGTTTTTAAGAAGCTATATCCGGTGAGGGAATTGAATCTTAGGTGTAAATGCATAAAATAATAATAATAATAGTAGTATGAAATGCAATTAAAACTAAACTGTTTGTGATTATAATCATAGTTAAATGTCAAGTGGCAAAGTAAATTAATGTTATATATAGAATAATTCATAGGATGGATAGAACCTGAAAAAAGGGTGTGCAATTATAGAATTATTAGGTAAATCGATTAAAATAAAAACGTTACGTAATATTGTGTGAGATTTGATGACATACGATTTAACGTTGTAAAACAGAATTGATTTAGAATGACAAGTGGAACAAGTGAAATAATACCGACGACAGTTCAAAGTGAGAATAGTAATAGTAACAATTGACTTAATAAGGAAGAGTATACAAATCGAATAGACAAAATGAAAAATTGGTAGAGCTAAAATATGATTGTGGATTACCATACTTTAGCATAGAGGGATTACGACCATGAAAGTTGGTGGGGTTGAACGAACTTTTTCTGTACACAGAGATCTGGCTTTTCTGTTTCGATAGCCAAAGATAGCTTCAACAATACAGATGAGTCAGGTACGTAGGGATTTGGGTAGATCACTTTTTGCCTTGTAGATGACTTTAAAGGCGGAGGCTATAGAGATAGGGTGATCATTATCAATCAGATGTTCAATGATCGCGCTTCTTATTGCTTCACTTCCACGTCTTCGTAACTAACATACAGGATAGTGTTCTTGCACCCTCTTGGACAAACCTCGAATCAAAGGACCGATATACCTAGATCTCCACACGAACAGGTGGATTGATAAACGCACATAGAGTTGATCAACAGCGGGATCTTGTCCCTCAGGTTATTGAACAGTATTGATCGAGTGGTAAAGGCTATTCTCAGAGATGCAGCAGGGAATTTTTTTCAGGGACTGTGATATCCTTCTTCATGATACTGGAAACTAAGTGACCTTTGAAGTCAAAGCTCATGTAAAGTATTTTCTTGGGTATGGATGGTAAGTCACGTTTTATAGGATTTGAATGTATATTCTTGTCTGTAAAGCGTGGTGGAAATCCATTTTCTAGTAGGATTTACCTCAAATGATTTAACTGATCCTCTACAGTATCAGGGCTACATATTTTTACTACAAATATATGAAAAGTAAATAAAATTTAAAAACTGATACATTTATTCGTCGGTGGCACAACGGTTAAGACGCTCGTCAACCATGCACATGGTCCGGGTTTCGATCGCGCGCCGATGCACACCCGATATCATTGGTCGGCCTGGTAAACTTGGGCTACAGATATCACATGCTGAGAATTCCATACTTGTGTCAAAAAAAACTGTGTGGAGTCAAGCTATAATAAAATATAGAAAAATTTATGAACTTGAATGAATCAAGAACAATAGCAACAGACAGCGGTTTGTGCAGAATAAGTTGTTACCATCATTTATTTCGTTGACTTGCCATCGACCACATACAGTCTAAAGATACAATCTAAAGATTTTGTGTACGTACAAAAACAATTTTAACGTACTTACAATTTTCGCAAGATGTCAGTTGACAGATAGTTCAATAGTAACGGAGTTGTGTATAGTAAAAAAAAAAGAGAATAAAGTCAAAGATCACGTAATCAAATAGAAGAAGTGATAAAGGCATCCAGTTACCAAGTGAGCAAGGTAATACTGATAGCTGCTTCTTTTTGAACATATAAATTGTGTCTCAGGTGTTTGACAGACATCGCTCCGACAAACTTGAGGAGAATTGAGCCACTTTGTGTATTGACAGTTTTCTATAGTTTGGTTTGTAAAGGTTAGTTTTGTTTTTACGATATATTGATGATATCATTTAGAGAATGATTGAAAACGAGCACTGGAGTAATGGACAGCTGTTTCATCCTAGTGTGGGAATCATCGACACTACACACCCACCACAGGAGGTTCGAACCCCAGGACCTTCCGGTTACAAGGCCAAGCTCGTATACCATTCAGCCACTGGGACCTGATTCAGCGGCTAACTTCTACCAATTCGTGATTTAGTCCGACCCCAGCCATTGTCGTCGATGGGACATCCATCCTCACACGTGACTTCTGGATGGACCTCACTGGTCACGACTTCTCACTAGAACTCCAGGAACCTCCACCCTGTAGCAAGTCACTAGCGAGCATCAAATCAAACTGTAGAAAATTAATCTGCTGCTCTCTAGTGACTTGCTATAGGATGGAGTTTCTTGGAGATCTAGTGAGAGGTCGTGACCAGTGAGGTCCATCTAGAAGTCACGTGTGAGGATGGATGTCCCATCCGACGACAATGGCTGGGGTCGGACTAAATCACGAATTGGTAGAAGTTAGCCGCTGAATCAGGTCCCAGTGGCTGAATGGTATACGAGCTTGCCTTGTAACCGACAGGTCCTGGGGTTCGAACCTCCTGTGGTGGGTGTGTAGTGTCGATGATTCCCACACTAGGATGAAACAGCTGTCCATTGCTCCAGTGCTCGTTTTTTCAATGGTTCTCTAACTGATATCAATCCGTGATCAACTCGTATAGATAGTTTTCAAGGATTTCACAATGTCCACTTCAGGATCCGTATCAAGGTGATGTCTACCAGTGGCATTATTGAGAGCGTTTGTTCTTTTTAGATGTAGGCTTCTCAATACACGATCAAAACAAAAACTAGGTATTCCATTCTTTCTGTTCTCCCAATGTTACTACTCCCAAAGATACATGTAAATTTGTATATACAATTAGAATTGACATAGGAAGGGTATTTTTTGAGATTTTCTATTGCATCTAAGAGCATGTTGTCTGATAAATGGAAACCAACTTAGTTGCAAGGGAGACTGTGGCTAGTGACGTCCTCAATCTTCTGCTGACTACTGTTGTACTGTTAACATCATTAAAATCGAGTTGCTGAAGCAATATCCGTCAGACGCCTGAAACCTAATTTATGTGTTCAGAAAGAAGCAGTTATCAGTATTGCCTTGCTCACTTGGTAACTGGATGTCTTTATTATTCTACCTTTCATCTGACCATGTGACCTTTGGCTTTAACCTCTCGTCTTTCAATTACGTAACCCCTTTGATGTTTTATTTTAAACTTGAACTCTCTGTCAACTGACATCATCTCAAAACTCTAAGCATGTTAAAATTGTTTCTGTACACATACATAAACTTAATAGTATCTTTAAGCTGTAAGAAGCTGATGAGGAGCGGAAAAAATTAATGATGATACCATCTTATTCTGTTCAAACTTTCGTTATTTTACTATTGAAATTCAAAGTTTAAAAAGGTCAGAGATAAGTAACAATCCTAGTTTTCATTCATTTGAATAAATCAGCTGAAGAAGCTGTGGCTTACACAGCGAAACATTTAAAAAAAAAAGATCTTGTTCTGATATTTCCATAAACACACTCTGGGATTATTTTAAATAATTTATAATGAATCAATCTGATTTTGATGTGGTTGTGTTATCTGAGCTGGATACTTTATTTGCGAAGCTTTCATTATTACCCTACTAGGTGACACCTTCAGGGCATAATTCAATTTGGAAGTGAGCTTTCAGCAGATTTCTTCACGACTTTATTAATCATCTCTCCTGGTGACCTTGTACCGGCCAAAACAACCAATCATGTACAAGGTCACCAGGAGAGATGACTAATAAACTCGTGGAGAAATCGAAAAGCTCACTTCAATTCAAATTGAAGTATGCACTGAAGGTGTTGCCTAGTAGGTGAATAATCAAGGCTTCGCAAATTAACTACCCACCTCAGAAAACACAACCAAATCAATATCGTCCACCTGAGCTACAAATCTTGGTCATCATATTACTGAAACTCTCAAGCAAAACAACTATTCAAAGAACTTCTTCAACAAAACGAACACTGATATAAAGTATGGTCGAAAATGTATTCCGAAAACATGAATCTCAACAGTTGTCATTCCATATAAAGCAGAGACGATAGACGATATCAGAAGACTACTCACTCAATAAACTCGACATCAGAGTTTTCTTTAAAACAACCTTGTCCATATAAAAGACTAAATCCCTAAAGATTCTCTATCTAATTGTGTCGACAAAATAAAATGCCTGCTTGGAATGTGATGCGATATACATCGAACAAACATCGCTAGAGAGAAATAAAGATCAGAAGAAATGAACACCATAGATCAAGCGTCTGTTCGACTATCGAGAAATAAATCCAGTTGAACCAGAAAAGCCTGAAAAATTATCATCCATAGCTTTTCTACACACTACAGAATCAGGCCACAAAATTGATTTTGACAATATTGAAATCATCATCCAGAAAAAGCATTTCAGAAATCACAAAGAACGTCAAATATTATCAGAAGCACTTCATATCAAGTGGAATCCAAATTCTCTGAGCTGACTAGGAATGATGGACTAAAACAGAAGTTGATCTGGTTACAAGACCCCATCCCAAACCCCCTCGAAATGACAAAATCAACACGAATGTGATAAGTAATTTCATTCATGTAAATACATGCTACTTTTGTATAGTTTTATATACTTATCAAATCCAACAATCTACACCTATCAGGTTTAGTTATCTTTACCACTTGGCCAACTTGACGACGAAAATTGACTTCATACTAAGGAACAATTATTAAGTTGTTATATATAAGCTGAGTGGGTTTTGTAAATTCGGCTTTAATAGTACCACTTTGATATATATATGGAGAAAAACAAACATTATAGCTTGATTCCACACCGTATTTTTGGTGCAATTATGGAATTTTCATCATGTGATATCGGTAGCCCAGATTTTGCAGGCCGACCATTGATATCAGGTGTGCATTAGTGGCGATCGAACCCCAGAACATGTGCATGGTCGATGAGAGTCCTAGTCGCTGTGCCACCGACGCAGTAGGTGTCTGTCTGTCTTTTGTTTTATTCAACCGGTTAAATCCCTTGAAAAATTGCACAGTAGGTCAGCAATCTAAGCATAATTGAATCTTTCATTTTACACTTTGTTGCTAATGTTTTTTCTTTTTTTTTTTTTAATATTTACAAGAACAACAATACTCGTCTGTACAACTTGATTCTCCGTGTCGGTACACATTGGTATTGGCGGACTTTTTCAAAACGTCGTCATAACAACGGTGACAACAACAACAACAGTAACAACGATCTTGTTGAAACATGTACAGATAGTGCTTATGATGCTGTTTTACAATTATCTGATAATTGTCACAATAATCAGTTCACAAAATATAATATATTTAATGAAAATATTCATGTAGTCAATGGAAATATTAATAATAACAATAACAGTTATCTGAATAAACTACAAAGTTATGAACTGACACCACCACAATATCCAGATTTTATTCTGTCAGAAATTGAATCAATCGAAGTATCAACTCATGTAAGTTAACTGTCTACTCATTACTTACTATTTATGACTTAGTAAAAAGGAGAATGATGCTCAGGAGGGCTTCGTGTGCTTTTGGAAATGTGTGGATGGTTGTTACTTGGCTGCCTACACACCGTGGAAGTTGATTGATTCTTCGGGTACCTGAAACAGAAGGGGAGGGTTAGTGTTGCGTGACCGCACAGTCCAGGGGACAACTGCTTGAGGCCGGCCGGTCACACACGGCCTGTATGAACTGGTTTCTTGGTTTGGTTCCGTATTAGTAAACTTACCATTGGTTACGGACCACTGTAACGTGAGTCGGGATGTACAATTTTTGGTATCGACCTTTTCTAACCCCTTCTCTCCGGAGTGGAGAGACAGCATAGCTGGCTGACATGCTAGTCATCTGAGAGCAACACCTCACTGCTGTAACATCTCTGTTCCCCAGCAGTACAACTTCGCCCACAGACCCCCAGCATAGTGTAAGAAAGATTCTTTCACAATACAGGTAGCTGCTTTTAGTCTAATCGCTATCTTAACAACCTTCCTGGCATGGTAGGACCTGCAGGAACATTAGTTCCAGCCAGTGCAGCTTGTTGGGTCATCGCGATGTGCAAGCCCAACCACCACATCAAGGTAGCAGCTACCGGTCGGGATTTATGACTTAAGTTATAATAAAATGACTTAGATGAGTGAATATAAATAAGATATTCTTTTCGATAACTACTTCAACAGATTCTAAAGCTATATGTTGTTGTTGTTGCTGTTGGCCAGGAATCTTCATCATCACCTCTGTTTTATCTATGTTCACCTGAAGTTCTATCTTCTCTGGGTGCTTCTTCTGCCAACTTGTTGTAGCTTTTAACTTGCATATCTTCCAGTTTGTTGGAAATCAGACATATATCATCATCAGCGAAGTCTAGATCCTCCAGGGTTTTTTTATGTAGGCCTGTTTAATGCCGGTTTCCTCATCGCTCGGTGTCTGTCGCATTATCCAGTCTACCGCAATCACGAAAATCATTGGAGATAGTAGGCAGGCAGCCAGCCTTGTCTTACTCCCGTCTTTACTTCTTCGAAGGATTTCGTAAATTTCCCGTTGTGGATTACTTGGCATGCAGCATTTTCGTACAACTGTTGGATGAGATGTATAATTGTCGATGGGACCCGTAGTAACGAAGTAGTTGCCGAATCACCTCTCGATCGACGCCGCGCTGTCGAAGGCCTTTTCAAAGTCGATCAAATTGAGTGAGATAGAGAGGTGACTGCCATTCCAAGCTCTTTGTTCAATGATGATCCGTAGTGTTCTGATTTGATCGGTGCATGACTTGTTTTTCCTGAATCCAACTTGTTCCGGTTGATTGTTGTTATTAACGATATTATTATTCAAGAATTAGCTTGTAGGGATTCTATTTTTTTCCAGGTTAGACCCTGGATTGGATATCGGTTAGAGAATCATTGAAAATCAGCACTGGAGTATTGGACAGCTGTTTCCCCCTCCCTAGTTTGGGACTCTCTAGCAGTACACATCCACCACAAAGAGTTCCACTCCAGGAACTTCTGGTTACAAGGTTAGCTCGTATACGATTCAACCACTGGGAGCCGATTCCATGACCCATGAATTCTAACTTGTAATTCCAGTACGAGGTTGCCTGCAGTTATAGTTAGAAGTCGTATCCAGTGGGGGGTTCATCCAGACGGAAGTGAAGATGGAGTTCTCGCTGATGATATTGGTTGGTGGTTGCGCTAAAATCACGAATCGGTATAGGTTAGAATTCATGGGTTGGCCATTGAATCGGGTCACAGTGGCTGAATGGTATAAGAGCTTGTCTTATAACTGGTAGGTCGTGGCTTCGAAAGCCTGTGGGTGCGTACAGATAACGAATCCCAAACTAGGACGAAACAGTTGTCCAATACTCTCTGATAGTTTTCAACTGCTCTCTAAGTGATATCAGTCCGCGGTCTTATCTAAAATGACACTATTATATATTATTATTTCCTTGGGGTTTCGAGTAGAACATGAGGTTTCAGCGGTACATTTCAGCTCTTAGATGACTCCACAGTCGCCTATAAGCTTTCATTTCCTTTGTGTCACTCTCGAACATCCAACTCGCCGTTTCCATTCGAGTTCAAGTCGATGAACTCTTTAATGCATGATCTCATCTCAGCCTGTTTTTAATCCATGTTCGTTTCCCTTTACATACTTGTCAGGCGATGGGTTTGTTGGTTAGTTGTCTGTCTGTCTGCCTGTTTTCAACACAGAACTTTGCACCGATGTGCAGCAGTCCAAGTTGCCACACTCCATGTAGCGCACAAAGCAAGAGAAGAAAGTAGAAGAAATGCATAATGGAGACAGTTTACAGGGATATGAGACAAAGGGATAGTTATATCGAAAAACAATATAGTTTCATTGGAAATTATAAGTCACTAGGTGTGTATGCATCTGCGCCACTGAGAACGATTTTGAGACATATCACCAATTGTCTCCAGTCATAGGTATTTACTGTCCCAAGGATCCAAACCAGGAAGTCTACATCTCCCTACACGGATTAAACTAACTGTCGTCGATTTCATTGACTCATGAATCCACGTTTTGGTTTTACCGCCGCTAGCTCTTTTCCAGCCTGACCCTATATTCGCTAACATTGCCCGTCGGGGAAGGCGATGACTAGGCATACGTAACACATGTCCTAACCACCTCAGTCAATGTAGCTTCACAACCTCGTCGATTGATTTTCTTGACCTTGCACTCGACCGATGCCTAACCTCAATATTGCTCACCTTATTATACCACTTCACACGAAAGTTAGAACGCAAACATCTGTGATCAAAGACAGCTAGCTCATTTTTTCATGTCTTCCACTCTCAGTGGCTATGGCTAACAGCCATAAAGGAGGACGGAGTGGACTGATGAGCAGTACACACGTCTTTTGGTCGATAGCCAGATATCACGTTTACTAAGCCAGAGACGGTGTAAACTGGCATGTGCGAAACTAGCCTTCTCTATCCGTGCTGAGATTTCGTGGGCAATCGACCCGCTGGCGCTGGCCAATGCAACTACCCAAATGAGTGAAGCAGTCAACACGCTCTACCACTTCACTCCCTATTTCTAAACTAGAAGTCAGTGTAGTCCAGTCCTGTAACATCATCTTACATTTGGCAGTAAAGAATCACATGCCAAACATTCGTAGATTGCAGCTCAAGATGTTCAGAAGACTCCGGATTTTGTCAGCGTCTTCATCTTGGACGGAGGACTATATCATCTGCATATTCTAAGTCAACAAGATTATTCCCTGGTGGCAGCAAGTCAACTCCTGAGTCGCTGAAGTCAGCAGTTAGAGTTAATTCCATTAGTACATCTATGATGAAATTGAATAGAAACGGGGACAGTGAACATCCCTGACGGACACCACTAGTTGTCACCATTTCAGATGACAACTCGCCGTAAGCTGCCACCTGGCTGGCTGCATGAGTTCGAGTACAGTGCCTTGATTAGAGCAATATATTTTCTCGGCATTTCCTTCACAGACAAACACCACCGTAGTACCTCCCGGTCGACAGAATCAAATGCCACCTCCAGGTCAAGAAACATAACGACTGTTGGACGCCAACGATAAGTATTTCCATGTTCCAGAATCTGTCGAAGGGTGAAGATATAATCAACACACCCTTTTCCTGTTCTAAAGCCTGCCTCGTTCTCTCCTGTTTGTGCCTCCCGAGCACCACCTAGTCTACGCATGATGATTATTGAGCCTAGGACTTTAGATACTATATTGGTCAAGCTAATCTCCCTGTGATTATCACAGGTTAGTCCGTTGATGTAGTTCTTTGTCGTTTATCCTTCCCACTCTCTGGTCATCTAATTTTCAGCATCGAGCTAAAACGTCAGCTGGCTATTGAAAATACTTTTTACCAACGTGCCAATTCTCTCAGCCATGCAGAAAAACTGACTTGATGTTAGTGTTAAAAATCCCATTTTTGTTGTGTTTTTTATCTAACTGAGTCCAGAAGATTTCCACACTGATTTCAGATTATAGGAGGTTTGTCGTGCCTTTTCCCGAATCCTATCTCTGACATTCTCATTTACATCCCCGATGGTAGTTGAAATGATCCTGCGTATACAATTGAAGTAAGCTCCTCATACTTAGATTTCTCCCGTTGACTGCGGTTCCCCCATAAATACAACACTGAATTACATATCAGACAAATTACGAAAATTAATACAGAATATATGAATACAATATACACACCAGACCTGGACATGTTTCTCTAGCACTCAAAGTTATGGTTAATATATGTGTAGAACTTGAGCACTGCGGTAGTAAGTAATTCCATATTAGTTTGTTTATTAGATGTATCACACAGTCAGTGAAGCAGTATTACTATTTACTGGATGACACAGTTTCGAACACAATTTATTCATTGTTCATAATCATTTCATCAATTATAATCACACACGACTTCGAAACTTGAGTTTTATAATTTTCTTTGTTCTCTCATATTTGTTGCCACTGGGATAAAAAGTCTCCAGATATCTGGGTGGACAGGTGTTGAATCATTCCTATTACACATATTCTCTTCCGTTGATTCGATAAACAAAGCTTCAGTTATTAATCTCTCCCTCCACACCTTGTGACATTAGATTTTAAAACTGTCATCTTATCCAATCCTGTATTGCATGGTTGTGTGTAACTGCATGTTATGAGTGAGTGGTATAGCTGAACTATTCTCTAGATTTCTTATCTTATTCGGGTCAACTAATCTAGATTTCTCTGCTGGTTTTTTATGCTCAGCTAGTCTGACTGATCTAATAAGATAAGAAATCTAGAGAATAGTTCAGCTATAGTACACACTACATGCAATTACACACAACCATACAATAGGATGGATGGGATGAGATGATAGTTCCAAAATTCAATGTCACAGGGTGGAGGGAGAGATTAATAACCGAAGCTTTGTTTATCGAATCAACTAAAAAGAATAGGTGTAATAGGAATGATTCAACACCTTTGTAGCCGAATATCTAGAAAATTCTACTACCATCCCTACGACGATATATAGGACAGAACAAAGAAAACTACAAAACTGAAGTTTCGAAGTCGTGTGTGATTATAATTGATGGCATGATTATGAACAATGAATAAATTTTGTTCGAAACTGTGTGATACATCTAATAAACAAACTAATATGGATCCTTGCTGTTTCTGCAATTCAGTGCATCTGTCTACTAATCAATATGCTTGCAGATATACAACATACTACTTACTAACCTCTTGTCAGTAGCACGTATCACCATATCAAATTAATTTATTCAATACGGGAGCCGAAAAAATAAAAAGAGTGAAACTCATCTGATTTAATGTAACTGAATTACAGGCCCTGAGGATAGGCACGCTAACAAGCGAAAAAAACTGACATCTAATCCCAGTCGAATGTGCATGGAATTAAACAAAACGTCATCCAGTAAATAACAATAATAATAATAATACTGTCTCATTGTGTGTGATATATCTAATAATAAACAAACTAATACAGAGTTATGGTTGTTTTAATTGGATTTTATTGGCCTTTGTAATTTGCTGTATTTGGTATTTAGAGGCTCTTGTCAGTTTATTTGTTACCCGATAGAGGATAGAAAAAGAGATCCTTCAATGGTAGCTTTGTGGTATTATTCGGACCAGATGGTCCAATTATTGAACTTGTAATGGTTTTAACTGCATCTTTATTTAGCCACACTGACAAGAATGTTCTGTTCTGTGGGGAAGAGAAGCTAAGTTGCTGGAGCAGCAGTCAATAAGAGAGGCTCCATAGGATCTCTGATACTTTGTCTATCAGTTGAGGCGGTTACAGCTAGTAGTGTGAAAAATGCTGGTATGCGGCAGTATTCTCATGTTTAATAGCGACTTGTTTACGAATACAGTACATCTGTAAAACACAAAATAACTGAGCAAAGAATATCCTTTTCGATAATTCCGCCTTCTGGCTCTACAATTATATATATATATATATATATATATAATGAGAAGCATAAAAATATAATAACAAATAGAATATCAACTAAAATTAAGGAAATTTCTACAAAAGATTGGGCATCAACCAAACTTAGATGGCCAACGGGGTAAGGACAATGTCTAAACCAAACTCTTTTCAACATAGAAATTAGGCTTCTTAATGTGGATCCCAACGGCCTCAGCAATATTTAATAGTCGAACTCTTAAGGCGAAAGTGAGAGTTGTTTGTATGCGATGAATGACTCTGAAAGCTGCCTCATTGACATCAATCATGTGTTGTGTATCCACAAGATGAGATAGAATAGTGCTATGAAAGGATTTTGTTTGTCCTTTACTTAACCAACCACTATGCAGGGGGTGATGTTCGGAAATCCGATGAGAAACCCGCCTAATCGTATGGCCTTACTCCACAAGAGCCAGTTGTCTTCAACTTTCTTGATCCATATGTCTTATTATAAACCTTTTTAGGACAGTTATTCTCATTTAAGATGTCATTTGTAATCTTAAGTTAGTTAGAACACTTTATAAAATGTAGCAGCATAGTAAGTTGTTTATTTTTTTTACTGTACAACTTATTTTAGGAGGAATTTCCACCTATATCGGCACACACTTCTGCATTTGATGACCAGTCACAGTGTGAATTAAAAGATGATAAAGAAATAGGACTCTCCACTTCTGATTGTAAGTCTTTCAATAACCACTTCGTTATTATTATTATTATTATTGCGTACTTTTTGCTGCATTTCTTACTTCTTGGTTTTAATCTTGAACATAAATCTCCCAGTTCTCAGATGAAACTGAGTGTGATGAGATCATCCGAATTCGTTGAGTAATTCAGTTAGCAAATTTATGAGCCAATGACTCATGAAATCTCACCACTATTAAGTAGGTTATTGTTATTATTATTATTTCCTTGGCTTCCGAGTTTAACGTAAGGCTTCAACAACACATCTCTACTTTCGTCTATTTTCCGCCGTCTTCTTCATCTGGATCCACGATTGCGCATTTCCAATCCCCTCGAGAGCATGGTGCACAATGTCTTTTGTCTTTCTTAGCACTTTTCTTCACCTCTTTATTCAGTGCGATATACACTGAGCCCAGGTTTTCTTTATGTTGTCCATCTTTGGATTGAGTCATCTTCTCTTCTACCATCCTCCTCTCCTCTCCTCGATTACCTTCCAGGTAGGTGTCTGTGGAGAGCCAACCATTCCTTGTCTTGTCTTTTCTTTCTTCCTAGAAAAGTTGTACATGTTTCCCTGAATATTGCTTTTAGAGAGTTCCAATGTTCTTCCATGCAGGTTTCCTCAGCGATGCCACGTAATGTCCCCGACTTTGCTCTGATGTGATATGTAGTGAAGGCATCCCTTGTGCAGTTTGTCCTTCTGTCCAGTTTCTGAATGCTGGACTTCAGTTGTAGCCTGTCTCCAGTTGTTTTCAGGGATTTCACCTTCACCTTGATGAATTCTTCAACTAAAAAATGATAGTCTGAACCCACATCTGCTCCTCTTCGTGACTTTGTGTGCAGCAGGCTGCGTCTCTACTTCCTTGAGCGACATTGAAATGAAATCTATCTGGTTTTTGGTGTGTCTGTCAGGCGAAACCCGTGTCGCTTTGTGTGTATCCTTGTGTTTGTACACGCTGCCTCCAATAACCCAATCATTGAATGGTGCAAAAGTCTGTGGATAATTCTCCATTCTTATTCATTTCTCCGACCGACAGCCTCTCGACTCATGATGAGTTCTCATCCTGTATTGTTAGCTCCCAGTTTGGCTGGCGTTCTTATCGCCCGTGAGGATTTTCATGTCAACATTTTCGGATGTTTTCCTTTATTTATTTATTTAAACGCATAAAAAACTTGGTACAATATGGCACCAAGAAAGATGCGCCACACAATAATAATAAAACAACATAGATCAAAAAAAAGGAAGGAAGGAAAAGAAAAAATATATATAAGTAGAGAACGGATAAAGAACTTCATCTGGAAGGAAAACAGTCATGCTTAACAAGTTCAAACAGTGTTCGTTAGCTATCATCGGGAAGGGAAGAAAGAAGGAAATCGCAACACATTCGCCACTGATTACGATTCTTGGCCATATCCGATAACGTTTCGAGCCATCGATTTGAGCTATCTCTCGGACCCCAACCAGGGAGTCGTGACACACCAACCGATGCTAATCTAGCACAAAAATCCTTCATCCCACGACGCCACGTCATGGACTGACCACCTCTCCGCCTTTTCCATCCCGTCCCAGGGCTAGCGAACAGAGACCTGTACGGAAGCCTCTGGGGTGACATTCGGAGCACATGTCCAAGCCACCGGAGCCGGTGTTTCCAGATGACGACATTCAATGAATGGTGATCTCCACTTTGTTCAAACACACGCCGCCGAACCTCAGAATTACTCACGCGATGATGCCATCGAACGCAAGCAATCCTGCGGAGACAGCGGTGATCGAACACGCAGAGTCGCCGCACATCCTCAGCTCGGAGAGGCCAGGTTTCACAGGCGTAGAGCAGCGCAGCCCGCACCGAAGCATTGTATACCCGACCTTTGACAGCCAGGCTAACGTCGCGACGGCGCCAGAGGTGGCTCAAGTTGATGTATGCCACCCTAGCCTTCATTATACGGTTGGAAATCTCATCCGTCACCCCTCCGCCAGCACTCACACAACTACCCAGGTACACAAACTTATCAACAACTTCAAGCGGTTCACCCGCAAGAGTGAGTGCAGGTACAGGCTCCTGCCAATCTTGTAACAGTACTTTGCACTTAGACGGCGCAAAGCACATACCATACTTACAGACACTGATCGCCAACTGATTAAGTGCGATTTGGGCAGCCTGCATGCTATCGCACAGTAAGACGATATCGTCTGCATACTCGAGGTCGAAAAGTCTATCTCCAGGTAGCAGATCTACACCACCTTCACGCACATCCTTCAGAGCTGACTCCAGAATGTCATCGATGGCAAAGTTAAAGAGAAATGGAGAGATTGGGCAACCCTGTCTAACCCCACTGTTGGTTGGGAACAGTGGTGATAGTTGGTTGTATGCCCTCACTCTACCTGAGGTGTTTCTGTATAGGGCTTTCAGGATGTTAACAAATTTCTCAGGTACACCTCTCTCTAACAGACAGTTCCAGAGCACAGTTCTGTCCAACGAATCGAAGGCAGCCCTAATATCAAGAAACACAACGATCGTTGGCCTGCAATACGTGTGGCGGTGTTCCAACAACTGACGAAGGGTGAACACATGATCAATGCATCCACGACCTGAACGAAACCCAGCCTGCTCTTCGCGAATCAATCCTTCACGTATTTTGCACAGTCTGCGAAGCAAGACAGCAGCCAATATTTTAGACGCGACTGGTAACAGACTGATACCCCTATGATTGTCACACGAATTACGTCGACCCTTTTTAAAGATGGGGACGATAATGGCTTCGTTCCACATTGATGGTACACTCTCTGTCTCCCACACCTTCCTGAACAACCCAGTTAGAGCCATTGTGAGAGTCTCGCCACCATCTTTAAAAAGAGCCGGGGGTAATTTGTCTGGGCCGGGCGCCTTATGGCGTTTCAGAACTTGGAGTTCCTTACGGACCTCCGCTTCGGTGGGTGGGTCGGTACTAACCGACCAAGGAGCACTCGGGCTAATGATAGTAGACACTGAAGCTGGTGGCCAGCTGAACTGCTTCCCGAAGTGCTCTGCCCAGCGTTCCAGGCGTCTTTTCAGGCTGGTAATTGGAGTGCCATCTGCCTCACAGACCGTCTCGCTGACACCTTGTTTCTTGCTGCCGGTGGCTCGTATGAGTTGGAACAGCTTCCGACTGTTGCCAGATGCAGCAGCTGACTCCATCTCACACGCACGTTCTGACCACCAGGCTTCGCGGTCCTTACGTAAACACTGTCTAATCTTGCGCGTGAGCGCCTTTCGCTGATTGTTGTATTCGCTGCCAGCCGGAATGGACCGGCGTTCATCCATGAGTTGCAAGGAACTCGCAGAAACCCAGTGGTTGTTAGCGGAGCATTCTTTCAAGCCGCAAGCGGCTACACTCGCCTTTTGCATGGCACCTTGCACATGAAGCCAATGTTCATCTATACTACTTGGGGGGTTGCTGGCAAGCATTGTTTTTAACTCATTCTGATATTTCAAAGAAGTAGCAGGTGCTACTAGTTTGCTCACATCAACGCTTAGACGACGGCTTTTACGAACCCCACCAAATCGCAAGACGAACTTGGCACACACTAACGCATGATCGGAGTCCAGGCATGTGCTCCAGAAGGAGCGACAGTCTTGTATGCATCCTCGCCACCGGAAACTGACCGCGATATGATCAATCTGAGTCCAAGCTTGCTTCGCAGAGGGAGGACGCCAGGTAGCGCTACGGCGATGGCTGTGCCGGAAGTTGGTGCTAGCTAGAAATAGGTTGTGATCCGCGCAAAGCTGCAGAAGACGGTCCCCATTATCTGACCTGCGACCATGTAGTCCCCACTGACCACCTAGACGATTCTCCTCTGAGCTTAGACGCCCCACCTGTGCATTCAAGTCCCCAGCCAGCACTACGATATCCCTCCGACCCGCCTGTTTCAAGAGATCGCTCAGTTGGTAGTAAAACTCATCCTTCATTGCATCCGGGCTGCAATCCGTCGGTGCATAGGCAGAGACAACAAATAGACACCGCCTATCTGGCCTACTACTCTTTACTTTCGTATAACCTTCCAGCCTCACAGCACATAAACGACTGTTAATGGGAATCCAGTCGAGCAGTGCAGCTTCGGCTCTAGCGCTCAGTGCGACACCGACACCAGCTACGCCGGATGCCGACGCCACAGGGTCCCCGGATAAGCGCAGGTGGTACATACTACTAGAACTTCCAGATGGAGAGGATAGTCGAAGCACTTCACTGGGATCTTGAATGCGGGTCTCCGAAATGCAGCAGACATCGATAGCGAGGCTTTCCAAAGTTCTTGCCAACCCTGCCTGTTGTCCGATTTGCATCAGCGTCCGAACATTGTAGGTAGCCAGCTTGAACGCAGCACGCGGTTTCAGGATATCCGTGTTAGATGTCACATTGGGAACAACCATTTTGAGGACTACTCACTAACATCTCGAAACGACACGGATAGGCTGGGAATCTCGACAAAGGCGAAAGGCTGTCGAAGGTTAAGAAGCCAAGGTTAGAAAAGGTACAATACAGGAAACTATGTATAAAAATAAAAGTAGGGTAGTAGGGAAATAAGTTCCTTGAGGGATCAATATTGCTTGGAATCATTTTACTAGCGCGCGTTGAGTTTCAATGGGAGTTCGTTGCTTTAATTCATTCATTGTGTGCGGGCTGAGATACTGCCCGGGCGCCCAGACCGAAGCAGGTGGTTTTATTAAGGGACCACCCCCGAGCCTTTGACTTGGAGTCTAATCCGCAAGGCAGCGGAGCAGCGTCAGGAGCTGCATTCCCATGGTTGCCGGTGACCCATGTGGGTTCATACGCCATTTGATCCGATTGGAAACTGGAGCCCATGTACCCCATGGTAACTGCTTTTAGTTTAACCGCTATCCAGAAAACCTTCCTGACATGGTAGGACCTGTAGAGACAGAGTCCCAGTCAGTTCAGCTTGTTGGGTCATTGCGGTATTCAAGCCCGACCACCACGACAAGGTAGCAGTTATCGGCCGTTACTGTTTGTAGTTATCAAAATAGGTTATGTATCCACTTACCAAGTGTATTGTACATCGTTGCCCTCTATGCTATATTAAGCCTATGAAATGCGGATATTAAGGATAGAAGCCATAATAACTTAAGGCATTCTGTTAGCAATTCCCACTTAAATTTGTTCTCACTTTATGTGATCATAAGGGGGGTAGTGAATAAATTAATATTATTATTATCATTATCACTACTATCATTGTTTATTTTATTTTTACATTTCCCCACATATCTCCTGACTAACTTATCAGGGTAATTATTAAGTTTCAATGCTTCTCTTAAACACAATCACTTAATAGGTTGGGATAGGATGACAGTTTTAAAATCTAATGTCACAAGGTGGGGAGGGAGAGATTAATAACCAAAGCTTTGTTTATCGAATCAACGGAAGAGAATATGTGTAATAGGAATGATTCAACACCTGTCCACCCAGATATTTGGAAAATTCTACTACCCCAACGACGACAACTAGGAGAGAACAAAGAAAAAAATAGTACTGAAGTTTCAAAGTCGTGTGCATATAATTGATGAAATGATTATGAACAATGAATAAATTTTGTTGGAAATTGTGTCATCCAGAAAATAAGACTGTCTCATTGACTGTATGACACATCTAATAAAGAAACTATTATGGAATTACTGACTACCACAGTGCCCAAGTTATACACATATTTTAATTTAGACTGAAGGTGTTCCGATCTTAATGGTGCTGGCGTCTTTGTTTGTCTGTCTTGCTGTACCCAGATCCAAGGCTTGCTGACGTCCACCAGCTTCTCTTTGTTTGCATTTCTGATCGGGTATACGTGAGTTACCCCGTCTCGTGGTGACCGTGTATGGTCCTTCCCACTTGGGATGGAGTTTGCGTGACCCTGGTGCGTATTCACCTCACACTGTCATATGCTGCCTTTACCCAACCTCTCAGCAGCGCTCCAAGTAACAGCCTCGAAATCCTGCAAGAAGATCCAGATATATCCTTCTATTAGAACTGCCGGGTATAGGCTTGTCATTTGTCGGCAGGCAGGGACACTGAAGGAGAAGGCGAGACACGGATGTAAAGGTATATTCTCAAGTGATCTAACAGCTATTTATTTTTTTATAGAGTTGATATTCTTTAAGGAATCACTGAGTGTGTGATTTTTGGTTTAAATTAAACGACATGAAATAGAATGTTTAAATAGACATAATATATGTCGTATTCTTTTGCTAAGGCCTGGTTGAACTGTGGGAATATGTGAGAATTATATTCCGTTTGGAACACGCTGTCTTTATTATACCACCGCACTCGTCTGACCCATCAAAACCTTTCAAATGAAGTCGGTTCGATCTTCTTCGTGCTGACGGGATTTGTTAGCCTCTCTTGCTGTGTAGAGTTCCAAAGCTTCTCTTTCTTTACATTTCTGATGATATATACGTGACTCCGTCTTTGGGTGAAAATGTATGCCATTTTTTAGCAGTTTGGAAACAGTTTGTATGACCCTGGCTAGTATACGCAGGTGTTTTACCTCACACTATAATATTGCTGTCGTCATCCGACCTCCCAGCAGCTTTCCAAGTAATAACCTCATAGATGATAGGCCTTGAGGTCCTTTCAACTGCACACAACAGCCTCGAAGTCCTGGCAGAAGATCCATTTATCTCTTTTCAAAAACTGCAGCGTATAGGCTTCCCATTTTTTTGGCAGGCAGCGACATTAAATATAACAACAGAAATCAAGACACGGAAGCCTGAGTATACTTATTCATTAATCAAACCACTGTTTATATATGTACAATTTTATATTCTTTAACCATTCACTGAATGTTTGTGATTTTGGTTTACATTAAAAGACATGTAATAGAATATTCAAATAGAGATGTACATATACCGTATTCTGTTGCTAAATGCCGTACTGAACTGTGGGAATATGTGAGAATAATATTCCGTTTGAACACACATTTTCTTTATCACACTACCACACGATTCGTGATTAAATCTTGTGTACTCCCTTCCTACTATATACTTTTCAGCTCGTGTTAACTTCAGTGGATCCGATGTGAACAGAATCAATTCATACATGAACCTGTTAGAGGAGAAAATATCATCGTATAAGATGATGAAAACTAAATATGAGTAAGTGGTGATTTACTTTTTTTTTGTATATGTACATAGGATCATGTGCAAACGTGTAGATTTACAAGGGAAACTGAAAATCATCATAAAGAGGCGGTGAGTAACATTCATTTAATATATTCATAATTGGTTTTTTCTTCTAGCATATCGAAACTGTATCTTTAAAAAATTGTATAAAAGTCGAAAAATCTGCCTGCTTATCAATTATCAAAGAGCTCCGACTTCTTCTTGGTGGACAGGGATCTCCATCAACAACAACAACAATCGCATAATATCGACAGTTTTAATTTATTATATATGTTTTGTTATATATGTATATTTTTTGTACAAAATTATTACTATTTTTAAAAAATAAATTATTTATCTTCTTCCGTATTGATTAACTTTGAGTCTTCAAGTGTCTGTTTGTGTTTGCAGAGGTATGACTGATTTCAAGTTTTGAGCGTGGGTGGATGTCAGTTAGAGAACCACTTAGAGTCATGGAGTAATGGACAGCTATATCTTCCTAGTCTGGGACTCTTCGACAGTATGCACGCATGATCCTACCACTAGGAATCGAACCTTTTACCTTCACGTCACGAAGTGACCTCACTGCGAAGTAATCAGATTGTAACGACAAATTCCAGGCAACAGGTCGTTTATTGAGAAAATCAGATATTTATAGATTTTTATGTACATTATTATTATTAGCGTTATTGTTAGCAGAGAAACAACGGCTTCTGATTGGTTGTTTTCTAGCTCAAGGCTAGTCTGTTATCTCTTTGTTGCCATTTCTTTGGAGGTCAGACTATACATCTGCGAATCGTATCCGCCCACGCTTAGTTTGCTGTGATTGGTTGTTCAGTTAGTCTTTGTTTTTGTTCTTTTCTCATGACGCTGATTTGGGATGTAAACATTGACGTGAATTGCTGTCTATCGATTTTGGCTTGCAGGCAGCTCTCACCACACAATGACCCTTAAATTGTAACTGCTATCAAAATCACGGCATATACAGCCACCACCAACCACTGTAACCATCGGCCAGTAATCGAATCAATCAAATCTCAACCTAGTGCTCACCAGTTACTGACTGCCGGATGGATGAAGTTCTCGTGAGAAGTTGTGATCAATTGAGTCCACCGAATTGAGTGTAAGGATAACTATATTCATCTATGAAATTGATTGGTGGTGGCGCTATGTATCGTGAATTGACGGAAGTTAAAATTCACCGGCTGGGTCATTGAATTTTGTCCTAGTGAATGAATAATCAGTGATCTGGACTTGTAACCTGAAGGTGATGGGTTCGATTCCCAGTTGGGTAATGAATGCGTACTGGTGAAAATTCCCAACCTACGACAAAGTAGCTGTCTACCAATCCTAGAGAGTTTTCAATGGTACTATTATTAAAACTTGTTTCATGAAGCTGTGGTTTATCATGCATTCGTATCTTTTAAGTTAAAGTGGAATGTAATTTATTACAGGGGTTTATTTTCACTTTGACCCATCTAGAATGACTTCAGGGTAAACATCTGGACGATTTTTTTAAACTGCTTTCCTTTTCACGATTAAGTCATCTATAGCCCATTTTAGGCGCATGTGTGCTGTTGTTGTGTAGATTAAATGTATTCATATGCTCCGTACGCATTTTAAATACTTGTAAGTTTAACCCCCAAACGATATAGATTGTGCGAGGAATACAGTTCTCACGAATAATCCTCATTCAGACATTAATGAAAACAAGACAGATGGTGTTCAGGGAAGAGGCTCTTTTTTGGCAAACTCATTTTCCCCTTTCGGATATATTTCTACGCAATTTTTCCCCACGAAAGATTTCAGCAACAAAAGTAATTTTTTATATTTGATTATAGCCTGATTCCACACTGGATACTCGGTACAAGTATGGAATTTTCAACGTGGATATTGGTAGCCTAAATTTTTCAGGCCAACCATAGATATCAGGTGTGCGTCGGCAGGGGATTGAACCCCGGACCATGTGCGTGGTCGGCGAGAGTCCTAACCGCTGTGCCACCGATGCACAATTATACTTGTTAATATTGATCAATGCATGAAGGGAGTAGTATATTAGAGTTACGTAATAACATCAATAATTAAATGAATGAATGAGTTGTACTCAGGATGCACACAGAAACTAAGAAAAACGTGAAATTACGTAAGGGTTCTAAAAGAAATACAAGAGTTATGAAAACTTCAAAAATGAAAATAATGTTAATGGGCATCAACTAGGTTGTAACCATGATAGTAGAGGTAGTTGAGTAATTTTCGTTTGCAACCACAGCTCAGATTTTTCTATCTGAATGACCATACCTTTAACAATGCAAAGGTAGGTTATTTTTCACCTTGTAGACTGCTTTGAAGGAGGCGTTTGTTGAAATGGAATGCCAAATGTTGTTAAGGTGTTTGATTATTGCACTCCTCGACAGGGTCACTGCTACCTTTCTACAACTATACGTGATAGTGTTCTTGTGCCCTTTTATGCAGGATACACGTCGAACGATCGATACAACTGGCTCCACAGGAACAGGTAAACTTATATATGCACATACAAGTGGTCAAATGTGAGATCTTTTCTTTCTAGCTACTGGAGAATGTCACTTTTAGCATTGTTATGAAGAATCTGCCACTCAATTATGATGAATTCTTACTCCTAAGAACATCGTACATTGAGTATTCCTTGAAATTCACCTTCCTGCAGAGGTATGTAGTTTTTTTTGGTACAAGTATTGTTTCACTCCACTGAACTTTTGGTTTGATATTCTTGTCATTGATTCAAGGTGGGTACTCATTTTTTTGGATAATTTCCTTCAGAAGGTCTAGTTCTGTCTCTAGGTCATCAGGAGTACAGATGGGTCGGATCAGAATGTCAAGGAGTTTGACTAAATTTCGTTCAACAGCCATCCTTCCGTAGAAAATTGTTTGTTGGCTGTTTCTAGTGGGTCTCATTTTTATCCAATCACCAATCAATGCCGAAGGAACCCATGTACTGTACTAACCTACAATCGGTCATACTGTATTTATCAAGAAGTGAATGCTATTAATTAAATGACAGTTATAAACGGAACTATGACCTATCAGACTTTGAACGAATACTAACTTAATGAGCTGGCTAATCTATCCTAATCGCACGTCAACAACTATAACAAGAACATCAACACTTCCGGGCTGCAAAAGACAGAAGAAAAGATTGGACGTGAGACGGTGGCACAGCGCTTAGGGCTCTTACCGATCATGAACGTGGTCCGGTGTTCGATCCTCTGCCGACACACACCTAATATCTATGTTCGGCCTGTGAAATTCGGGCTACCAATAACGCATGCTGAAATTCCACACCTGTACAAAAAATATGGTGTGGAATCAAGCTGTAATTGAAAAGAAAGGGTTAGCAACCCTTGCGTACATATATGCTTAAAATCACCTTGAGAAGCACTAATGTAATTGAAAAAGTGAGAGAGGGAACAGACAACAGAGTTTGGAAGGTCGTCAGTAGCGTGGGAGAAAATTTGTTCAAGTGAGTTTTGAGAGATACGAATATAGATGTAAAACTGACATGTAGAAAATTAGGCCTATATGTGTCACCTCCCCAGTCAAGAAGAGACGTGAACTTGTACAATAAAATTAAAACCTCTTCCTCTGTGGGTCGACTTGAAAACGTTCTGTCACGGATCTCTCGCGACTGGATTGCCTTCTTTTTTATTCTGTAACTCACGTTTTTGTACCTTCGTATCTACAGGAGGTAGTTTAAGTGTACCAAGAAAGATATCGAGAGATATCTGGGGTTTTGGAGCTTTTCTAACTGATTTTTATGTCTCATCCACGTTTAATGACCCAATGTTATCTCGTACTAAACAGCTCCAAGTTCGCGTTCAATTCGGTCTTTTGGCTCATTCCTCTCATCCTTGGATATAATCTCGAATATAGACAAGGTCACACTTCTGGAAATAAACCGCAGTGCTCTCTCGATGATTTTGCTGTGATAGGATCTTGGCTGTTGGTTTAAGAACAGTAGAAGCAGAAGCTTTTGGGGTTGCTGCAGATGTCTTTGCTCTGAGTAGTTTCGGCAGTGGTAACTTCTTAACGGCTATTTGGGGTGTAGTTGTGACGTTGGGTCGTAAGACCTTTTACTTGGTTTTGTGGCGTCTCGGTTTAGGCTGTAACCACGTCTTGAATAATTGGAGTGGATTCCAATAGCCTCTCGCTTCAATTTTGTCGCATGTACTGTCAAGGGGGAATTCCGAGAGTTGTAGGCTTTTAAACTGATCCAAACTCAGTAAATCCATGTTTGCATAATTTAAAAAGCATGTACTGATAAATTGGCTTTCACGGAACCCGACGATGCACTTCAACTGCCCTGTCAAAGGGAGTTGTCCACCATTTACATTGACGGCTATCGGGTCAGTCTTATCTAAAATTGGCAACCCAGATTTCTCCATAGCCTCTTCAATAATGTCGTAATGTGGGATGCCGTGTCCATCCGCGGAGGTGCTGAGTGTAGATTGATTCCTACGTCAACATATTTACGTCGGGTGGGTTTGCTGATGTGTGGGTAGCTGTGATGCTCACAGATTTCAGCACTGGTGGTAAACGGGAATGGTTTCTGGTCTTTTGCCAGAGAATCTGCTTACAATATCCATCTCTGTTACCACTAGTGTGGCATCGCCGACATTTGTTGTATTTGTGTAGGCATGATTTTATGTCGCTCCAAGCCCCACAATGTCAGCATCCTGAAGGCGGAGCCTGTAGCAGACGATGCGGTTGATGTCAACAGTACTGGATGCACTAATGCACTTTTGCTGTTGTCAATGTAGTTGAAGATTGAACGATCAATTCATGGTTGTTTGCCAAACCCAACTTCCCTATATTTTTCGCGGAGACATCGATACACCAGTCATCGTCTCATCGGTCGCTGTTCAGAAAGAAGTCAGGCCAAAACTGTCAGAAGTAGTATTGTGATTTATTATTGTAATATTTGTTCATAGACCTTAGTTAAAACTTAATTTTTAAGTTGCCTATATGTTGGTGTTACAATAAAGAATTCTCGAGTGGCCAATCGGTGTTTTGGTTTTGCGTCCGTTATTACTAAGCGTTTCTGAGAAACTTCAAGGAACAGCGTGAGTCCCAGCTTAGCAAGAGCTGGGTATTGAAGGTTTACGAGACGTGGCTGACAGCTGTGTTTTAGCTACCCTAATGGACTAGGATAGTATCTTGACAGCTATTTAGGTACTGTGTGGAAGTAATGTGTAAGTAATAAACGATTTTCCCTATATCGCTTCACACACTTCTGTAAGTTTCATCCAAGGATGCCCTTTACTTCGATAGTGTCCGAGTAA